CATATCTCCGAGAAACAGCTGGGCCAAGACAAGGAAGTGCCATTTTAAGGAGGGTTTATTGATATTTTTAGACTGTCTGCTTGACTGTGTCTTGACCCACGGTCCCATAACTATACATACATATGTATATTTACTCATAGCAGTTGTCAGAAAAGATAGTTCCCTTGTGTATAGTGCAATCTTCAAAATAGAAAATTTAACATACATACATATATACTATGAGTTTATTTGTGCTGCATGCAGACACATACATATGTACTTACGTAGTTTGAGAGCTCCAGCTGCTCCCTTTGGATCCGTACACAGCGCTTCAAGCGGAAGTCAGATCTATTATTAGATGGGCCTCGATCATCAAGGCTTCATTTTAGTTCGTTTCACCAGCGGGATCAGTTACATCCTAGATCAGCATCAGAATGGAGGCTTTCACTCGCACTCTACATAAAACCTTTCGTAGCACTAGAACCACGACTACTACCACTACCACCAAATCCTCTACCAGGTTCCTCCACGAATCCCTAACACTTTTGATTTCTTTTTAATTTGACCGTTTTTCAGTTTTAACATTTTTCATAATTATTTTATTGCAGCTCAACGACGAACTCGGCTCTCCCATCCCGAATCCCAAAGCAACAGAACTACGTCTCCGACATTAGCTCACCCTTGATTCAGGTATGCAGTGCGATTTATACTATATAAAACCAAGCATATTTAACTGATGGAATTATCCCTCTAATTACAGGATGAGGGCGACAACAAAGTGCTGAAGCTACGCTTCGATGTTAGCCAGTATGCCCCCGAGGAAATTGTGGTGAAAACCGTAGACCAGAAGCTATTGGTGAGCCTCCTATCCCACGATCCTATCTAGAGTTGCGCTAACAGAGATCTTTCCCATGAACTCAGGTTCACGCCAAGCACGAGGAGAAGTCGGACACAAAGAGCGTGTACAGGGAGTACAACCGGGAGTTCCTGCTGCCCAAGGGCGTCAATCCCGAATCCATCCGCTCGTCCCTCAGCAAGGACGGAGTCCTGACCGTGGACGCCCCCCTGCCAGCACTCACCGCCGGCGAGACACTGATTCCCATTGCGCATAAGTGAAGGCCTGAATCCCGATCCTGAATCAATCACCATTGCCGCTTTGCGGAGGAGGAGGAGGCTACCGCAAATCAGATTAAATCATACACACATTGAGTTTAATCCAATCCTATCTAAATGATTAATTTTTTTTGGTTCTGACTTAAAGCTAAACTATGTTACTGACTTACTACTCATTAACTTAAATATAATTCAAATTATTATTAAATTTGATTAATTTAATTCATATTTATAATTTTCGCATTAAACGTAATCAATTTTGTCGTAGTTGTCCCCGCATTGGTTTTCCTTTCCTCCCATCAAAAATAAATTAATATTTATCCAACTGAGTGGATTTTGATCAGTTAAGTGGGCATCAGACTATTACTCGATTGAAAATGGTTTATACTTGTCTTTATTAAATCTTTGCATATACTTGTCCTGGAATAAATGTTCAGAGATGTTTTTGACAGTATAAAGTAAGTATGTTCTTTCTTTAAATCTTGATCAGGAGCTTGCCTGCATATCCCGATCGAAAAGACTTTCCAATTCGAATTCATATAGTACAATTAGTTCTTTGCAAATACAATTTGTTTAATGCGGTGTGACGAATCTGTAGTGTTTTGAATGTGTTTCAGATTAAATTTGCTTAGATATTTGGATCAAATTTGTATAGCCTTTTTTATTGATTGTTCAAACCCAAAGCAGTTACAGTGACAAAGAGGTTTAATTTAAAATTTAAATTTGGTAGAAAGAGATTTCTGTGAAACTTCTGATTATTAAGTTTTTTGGTGTTTAAGATTATAAACTTAGAATAGGGTCCGCTCCAATAAACATGTCGACTAGGTTTGACCTTTCAATTCAAACACTTTTCTCAGCTTAATGTTCGTTCCGAAAAAAACTTCGGCTCAGAGATATTGTGTGCAACACGAACTTACCAAATTATAGGCGCCGCCGGGGATGTCTTCCCCAAAGACCGGAGGTCCTGTCTTTCTGCAATCAACCCACTTGTGAGCCGACTTAGTGGCTGACATCCCGCCAGAAATCCATAACTTATTCACACAAATAAATTAGTTAGCAAAGCGAATACAATATAATAGAGATGCCGCCGCAGCTGGAGTTCCAGGATGGAAATGGCGACGAAGAGGAGAAAGATCTATTGGAGTACAAAGAGGTGGATCCGCTGCGGCTGTCAACACTGATCCTGAATGCGGATCCGCGCTACCGCATCAAGCCAATGCAGCAGGTGGTGTCCGCACTCATTGGTGGCCTCATCACGACGTTTGTGGGTGAGTAGACGGATGGTCGGATGATCGACCCAGTTCGGAGCTCCGAGGTCTAACTCATGTCCCATGACCCATCCGCCCAGTGACACCCTTGGAGGTGGTGAAAACGAGGGTGCAGACCCAGCACGCGGTCCGCCAGCGGCCCACTGTCGCCAAGCTCTGCTACGTCTTCCACAACGGCCTGATGACCCACGTGTGCCGCTCCAGCGACATTTGCATCCCGAAGCCGGGTCGGGACCCCCGTGACCTTCGACCCCTGCGCGGCGCCATGGTGAGTCAACAAGTTAAATGGCAAAATTCAAGGAATGAATCCGAAATGACAAAAACCATTATATATGCCTAAAAGCAATGAGATATACGCATAGTTCTTCGAAAACAACTAAATTTAGATTATTTTACAATTGTGGAAGTTTATGTCTCGACTCTATATACATAAGGGTATTAAACATTTTTTTCTTGGCTAAAAAATTAAAGCTTCAGCATCGGGTTTGTTGATCAAAACACTGGGAAGTAATGGTAGTGTGTTGAAATTTCATACCTCGTTGCAATCGTTCTAAAATATTCATTTAAGTGGTATTCACACCAACAAATTTCATTTTAGATAAATTCTCGAAAAAATCATTATAAAACAATTCGGAAGAAATCTGCTTGAGTTTTGGTTTTTTGATCAAAACCCTGGGAAATAATTCCAATGCTGGTGGAAATTTCCAGTCAATTGGCACTATTATAAACTATTATAAGCCCCTTACTAGTATTTTGGCGATAGCAATCAGTCAATAATTTTATCCATACCTCTTTTTTTCGGGCGCAGGACGCGTTTGTCAAGATCGTCTGCAGCAGCGGTCTGAGCGGCCTGTGGGCGGGTCTCAGTCCCACGCTAGTTTCGGCGCTGCCCTCCACGATCATCTACTTTGTGACGTACGAGTACCTCAAGAATTCCCTGTCCCACATGTACATGGTTTCGAGCAAGCTTGAACAATCCGACGCGGAGGACCAAGTTCCCGGAGCCGATGGCGGGGATCCCCTGGACCTGTCCACCAGGAGCCAAAATGTGAGCGCCACTGCTCCGGCTCCGACCGCCGCACCGCTGCCGTACTACGTGCCCATGGCCTCCGGTATCTGCTCGCGCACCATCGTGGTCACGGCCATCACGCCCATCGAAATGGTGCGCATCAAAATGCAGTCGGAGTACATGACCTACTCGGAGCTGTGGCGCGTGCTGCGCTCACTGATCCGGCAGCACGGGGTGCTGGGTCTGTGGCGGGGCTGGCCGCCGACCGTGATGCGGGACGCCCCCTTCTCCGGCACCTACTGGGCTGCCTACGAGGCGATGAAGCGGGCCTTCGGCGTCTCGGAACCCACCTTCCTCTTTAGCTTCCTCACGGGCGCCGTTTCCGGAGCGGTGGGTGAGCAGTGCCCTGCCGCACACAGATATACTTACAAATAGCATATTAATTTTTCATCCCAATTTCGACACCCATGCAGGCTATTGTAATTCCAAGCAGGAGTTTGTACCCATTTTGTAATGGTCGTTCTATAACTATCTTTTGCTATTATCATATTTACCATATTAGCATGTTAAACGGCCAATTTCTTGAATTATTTTTCGAAATAATAATTTTATTCATATTAGAAAGAATAGTTCACAGTTTTTTTCTAAATTCTCAAATTTTAAATAAGATTTTCAACTAAATTCCTCGACACCGAAAGATTCTGATTATTTTAAAAGAATCTTCTTAATATATGTATGTATTTCTCCCAAACTCCTGACTAAAATTATAATATCCATGTCTAGTAATTTACTATCTACGCTAGAAATTAGCGAGAGTAACCAAGTTTTGTATTTGTATCCTTATAGGTGGCCACGTTTGTGACAATGCCCTTTGACCTGATCACCACCCACACGCAAATGGAACTAGGCCAGGATGTGCTCTACGAGGAGGTGGGAGCGATATCAGGAGCACCAGCAGAAACCGGTGGGGTTTCAAAACCGGGGTTCGGCAAGGACAGGCAACGGACGCCGCCAAGTGCGTTGTCGAGGCCCTCGATGTTTTCCCGACTGAGCCATATCTACCGGCAACAGGGATTGCGGGGCCTCTACGTCGGCGTTGTGCCACGCATGCTCCGTGTGGTTCCCGCCTGTGCCATCATGATCTCCACCTTTGAGTACAGCAAGGCTTTCTTCTTTCACTACAACCTGAATCTTCAGGAAGCGGGTAGGTAAAACGGGAAGGGGGCGAAGGCGGATGCATTCAATTGGCCTAAGCACTTTTAACGAAACCAGTCCCCGGGATGCACTTAATAAGTATTAGTTTTCTTGAAAGTTTCCTATTTTAACTATTTCAAAATTAAATATATATACGTTTGTATGTACAGATTTGGTCTAGATGTTAACATTAATAACATTTGTAACTGATAATTTAAAGAGTTGTCCCTTCTTGTAGTTAATTTAAGACTGTGTAAGAAACACGATTCCATTTAGATTCAACGTTTTCAAATTTCTGAAATCTCTAAAAAACTTATTTTTTGCAACACGCAAAACTTAATATAACGATTAAAAATCAAACAGTGCGGGGAACTCCCCCAATATGACTGTTTTTCGATAACACCGCGATAGCATTTCCGTTCCGATTACACCATCGATAGGTGCGTGCGGCAACAGCTGATCGGCTGGCCAGGAATTGGACTAAATCGAGCACGGTGTTTTATTTTGGACCTGGATACTATTTCACAATGATCGGGGGGGTTGCCTAATAGCCAAGATCGCATTCAACAACAATCCAGTTATTAGCACGCGATTCACCTTCTCATCCTATCGTCACTTCTCTGTTGATTCCCCGCCAGCTTACCGGGGCTCCCAGTGAGGCCACAAGAAGAGGATCTTCATCTGCAATGGCCAAGAGGGAATGGGAATCATTCGCCCACTTGGCGGCTGCCTGCGCCGCAGTGGCGGCCACTCCCAGCCAAAGCCAGACGAAGGCCACGATGACGGACCCCCGGTTCCGGATCCGACCCCTCCAGCAAGTGGCATCCGCCTGCACCGGCGCCATGGTGACCGCCTGCTTCAGTAAGTGACCCATCGAAATCCATGTGGTATTAACGGCGATTCGTTTCCCACGCAGTGACCCCCCTGGATGTTATCAAGACCCGGCTGCAGGCCCAGCAGCAGGCGCTGCTTTCGAAAAAGTGCTTCCTCTACTGCAACGGCCTCATGGACCACATCTGCCCCTGCGGCCCGGACACGCCCAACCCAGCAGTCGCCAAGCCGGCTCCCCGCTTTTCTGGCACCATTGTAAGTAGTAGTAGAAGCAGGGAATCTAGCACCTATGCCTAATCAAGACTTTCTTCAGGACGCATTCATCAAGATCAGCCGCACCGAGGGCATTGGCTCCCTATGGTCGGGGCTCAGCCCAACGCTAATCTCGGCCCTGCCCTCGACTATCATCTACTTTGTGGCCTACGAGCAGTTCAAGGCCCGCTTCACCGACATCCATTACAAGTACATGCAACGCACGGACGCCAGCGGCCGTGACATTCCACTCCCGATTCCAATTTTGGTGCCCCTGCTGGCTGGCGTTTCGGCCCGCATCCTGGCCGTCACCTGTGTCAGTCCCGTCGAGCTGATCCGCACAAAGATGCAGTCGCAGCGCATGACGCACGCCGAGATGTTCGGCACCATTCGCCAGGTGGTGCAGTCGCAGGGCGTCCTGGGTCTGTGGCGTGGTCTACCGCCCACTATTCTGCGCGATGTCCCTTTCTCTGGCATCTATTGGACCTGCTACGAGTACCTAAAGAGCTCCTTCGGCGTCGTGGAGCCAACGTTCAGCTTCAGCTTTGCAGCGGGAGCGATATCCGGATCGGTGAGTTGTAGTCAACTCAAAATTTTTACCCCGCTGATTTTGTGTTCGTTACCAGGTTGCTGCCACGATTACCACGCCCTTCGACGTGGTGAAAACGCACGAGCAGATCGAGTTCGGCGAGAAGTTCATATTCTCAGGTAGGCCCAATGAGGTTCAGCTTGCTGCAACCAGATCCCGCACCAGCATTGACAATGGTTCGGTTTGCATTACGGCAGATAATCCCCCCAAGCAAGTGGCCACCAAGTCGGTGGCGGTGCGCCTGGCCAGCATTTACCGCCTGGGCGGAGTGCCCGCCATTTTCTCTGGATTGGGCCCGCGACTTTTCAAGGTGGCGCCCGCGTGTGCGATCATGATTTCGTCCTTTGAGTACGGCAAGTCCTTCTTCTACCACTACAACATTGACCAGCACAATCGCAGCATCAAGGCATCCGGATCGTGAGATCACTCCAAGTTCGACTACAGTGAATCTATGTAAATATGTACATCAACGCCAAAGTTGCCAGGAAATCGGTGGGCAGGCATCGTCTGCTGGGTTTGGCGAGCCCCATCGAACTTGTTAAATTGTAGTGAAATAAAATTCTTGTTTTTTCTGGTTTAAAAACAACAAAAAGCTGGCCCTTCCCACCCGAAATTCCCGCGCGTTTCAAGCTAGTCCTTATGTTTAAATTGAGGAGTTTATACTTTATTTCAAAATTTGGGGCGATGACCTATTGGCTATGTACATGTAAAAAAATGACAGCGCACATAATGAAAATTATTTGTAAAAAGAGATGGGTTGCCGTTGTCCATGCTAAACAAAAGCTATATTTATCTGTTAAAAAATACAAAAATGCATTACCCATTAAAACTGAATTTTAATTTTGAAATAAAATATGGGAGCTGTTTATAAATAAAATAGTTCGTTCTCTGCAACTGGTCTATATTTGTAATTGCTGCAGAACATCTTCAAATCCATGTCCGATAAGATAGATGGATAACGTAAGCAATTTCTAGGCCAGAAAAAAAGATAAGATGTATTATATGTATATACACTTAGTCAAGACCGTAGGAAACTATATTTAAACACCCAATTTTCACTTAATACTATTTTGAATTAGCGCCCAATAGACCTGTGATCGAAGGCAACCCGTCGATTTCCGATCAATTCCCCGAACATATGTTGGGCGTTATCGATAGGTGGCCAGCCAACACGTGCATTTTTTGTTTTGTATTTGTGTTTGGATTTTATTTGACCTGACCAGCAGCTTTATCCCGCGAAATGAGTGAAGCCGCAACTGAAACAGCCACGCCCAAAACCCCGGCAAAGGCCAAGAAAGCGGCGAAGCCTGAGGCCAGCATTCCACGTGGTCAACCGAAGTCCAACCGGCCGTGGAAGACGCCCAAACAGAAGTGAGTGTTCCCCGTCCACTTGCCACCTTGTCATCCATCTAACGATCACCTCTATTCCTCTGAAGATTCAGCAAGATCAAGAAGACCGTAAACAAGCTGACTTTCGAGAAGAAAGAGGCCCTGCGTGGCGAGTTGCGCTACATCAAGGAGCGGTCCAAGGAGATCAAGGACAAGCGCAAGGAGGACGCCGTGCAGAAGCACCAACGCCGCGTGGAGAACGCCGAGAGGCGTCTGGCAAACGAGCGCCGCTCGGAGGTAGTCCAGGTCATCAAGAATCCCGCCAAGCTAAAGCGCATGAAGAAGAAGCAGATGCGTATGATCCAGAAGCGGGACACCAGCCAGGTGAAGGTGGTCTGAGGGGGTTCCCTAAGTTAACTTGTATTTTTGCTTAATAAATCTAGTTTTAATGCCAAGGAAACGTTCATTAACAAACATATATGAATGTATTTAGGTCGCTATGCAAAAGTGTGGCATACAAACGAATTTAGCTTATCTTAGCCTAGTTTAACAAATTTACATAGTAATCCAAGGCCTTGCCGCCGCCCTCCCTCCGAAATTGTGTCAATATCTCCTTCCGCTTGTTGTTAAGCGTTCTGCCCGCTAAACACTTATCCTCCTGCGTCAGACCTTGTAGCAGCGCTCCGATGCGCGTCCGCAGCAACAAATCCAAGCTGTGGGCCAGGGACTGATCTTGCGGTTGTCTGTTTGGCGGCGACGATGCCTTCTTCGCGGGCATGTCGAGAAGGGAACTAATAAAAGCAAGTAGCGCAGGTCCTGCTGCATCCAGATCATCCAGTGTGATGCTATTGCTCTCCCAGGCTTCCGAGCCAGGGGGCTCCAGCCGCTCATTCATCTGCCGCACCACGCCCTCCGGCACGCGGCTAGAAGTGCTCCTTGTTGAGTTTGCTTGCAGGCAGGATTTCAGCGGGCTGGAGATGTATATCTGACCAAACACGCAGCCAGCATTGCGGCACAGCTGGTGGAGCTTGTTGCGCATGCTGCGATAGTAGAAGTTATCGTCGCACAGGATGAGGTGGCCCCTGCTGCTGCGGTCGCCGCTGGAGGTGGTGCGTCGGACTTGCGGGGGCCAATCATTGTCTTCTTGAATGGCGGTAATTAGTTGTTCTATAACTTTAAAGATGAGCTTACGTTGCTCCTTGTAGAGCAGCTGCGCTGAGGGCCGTACGTCGAGGAAGTCGTCGTAGCACAGGTGAACGATGTGGCAGACGCGGAGGGCAGCCTGCTGGCCCAGTAGCCAGGTGCACAGCGACGATTTCCCCGCTCCTGGAAGGCCGATTAGCGCAACAAGGCAAATGAACCGCATTATGTGAGGTTGGTTGATAAGTTGGTGATGGGAAGGTGTTTTTTGTGGTTTTGAAGACGACTGCTGACTGTGTGGGGGCGGGGTAGATTCCGCGATTAGCTATCTAGGATCGAGAACAGCAGTTGCGGTGTGGCATACCACCCCGAGTTCTGCTGCTACATCGAAAGGTTGCCGGTGACGCCCGGCTGGACTGGAGTAAGTACTGTCGTGGCGGCCGCCTCCTTCAGTCGCTCCTTCTCCTGTTCCTTTTGCTGCTGCTCGGCTTTGCGGGCGTTCTCCTCCACCTCCTCCATGCGCTTGGCGTTAATCGTGGTTTGCACATCCACGTAGACTTTCATCATATTCTGATTGAAGCGGGCGAACTTGGTAACACACCTGTCCACGCAGATGTCCTGTAGGGTGCGGGGTTAGATGATTAGTTCAGGATGTGTACTAGGACCCGACGCCAAAACTCACCTCCTGTCCGCCCAAGTCGCGCTGGCTGAGATTATCCACGCATCGGCTGAAACATAGTTCCGTCACTTTGTTGTATAATGTGAGAAAGTCCTTGAGCTGGAAGACATGGAGAGTAAGTAAGGACCTGCGAGGCGTCGTCGAACTTTTTTGCTTACATTACGCAAGTTGGAATCCATCGGTGTACCAGAACTTGAGCCTAGATTGTGTTTTAATACAGCAATTATACAATTTAATTTTATAAACCGTCACGTTCGTGACAAAAAGAACAGCTGATTTCCCTTTATTTGGAACATCGATAGCTATATGTAATCGATAAGAAGGTGACCTATGCCTGTAATCGAGTTCAAAATATCTATAATTGCGAGGGGAGATTTCTTTATCACTTACTTGTGCTTAACTTTTGAACAGAAAGAAAATTATATAAAATCCAAAGTCTGTTATTTCCTATAATGAAGGTCATCCACTACATGATCCTGTTCTCACACTTTTAAAGTTACATTTTAGTAACAACCTTTAAGAAATTTGAATAGTTTTAAATTTTTGGTTTTGTGGACATAAAACTCTTTAAAATCAGAAACAAGTATTAAAAAATAGTAAATATATATGGATTATACGTATATTTCTGCTTGCGAATATATACATAGATACTGATTAACAAAATTTGAAGACCTATGTGGCCTGCGGACCATCGGGATTGGTGCCATCGGCCGTTGCAGGACGACTCTCACAGCTGTCCTCGCCGCTGCTCGTCGTAGAGGCGCCTTCCTCCGGCGAGGTCTTCACCGCCTCGTCCGCCTCCTGTTGCGCATCCGCCAGTCCGGCGTCCACCTTGCCGCTCTCCTCGGGGTCGCCTCCTTTCTTGTTCTAAAATAGAAAGAGAATATTTATAGATATTTATTATTGTAAAACTAAATTGTATCAATTAAGAAATAGTGGTATTTAAATCAAGCATATTATCGAAGGCAGGTGCAAGCCCATTTTAAATTTACAAATTAAAAATCTATTTTAACTTAATATTATTAACCAGAGGTATATTCATATTACAAAAAGAAAATATATAATTAGCTTTACTCCAAAATTTTGAAATATCTTAGTAGATATTTTCAATACAGCCTTATATATTTTTCTCTGACATTTATAATTTTTTTTGGTTTTGGAAATTGGGCAGAACGGATTCAGTTGCTTACCTTCTTGCGCTTCTTCGGCTTCTCGGCCTTAACGGCGTGCAGCTCCTCCTCCTCCTGCAGGGCGGACTTGTAATTGGCGGGAAAGAACTGGGTGGCCTCCTTGTGGCCGACCACCGAGTTGGTGCTGACGTAGCTGGGACTGTAGGCCATCAGGGTGGGGATGGTCGGACTACTGACCTTGTTCACCTTCAGCACGATCTTGTCGGTGCTGCATAATTCAAATAGATTTGTCAGTGTCCCTGGGGACCTGGCCAATGGATCTAGTGAATGATCATACTCACGGCACATAGGGCTTGGCATTGTACTTCTCCACCGAGTTGGCAATGAACACCGCCGTCTGTGGATTCTCGCCGGTGAAGAAGCCGTAAAGCGGAATGTCCTCGCGACAGGTCTCCAGAAGGATGGCCAGGTCCTTCTTCTTGTAGGCGTCGAAAATCATCACGATGTGCGGTGGCTCCGGAACGGGATCGGGCGGAAGAAAGGTGGACGTCTGGGTCCGAAAGTAAGTGTAGATGAGGGCGGCATGGGTGCGCTGGTCAGTGGGCACCCAGATCGGGGGTATTCGGATGGTCTTGGTCTTCTTAAGATCGGGCTTTGGAACAGGAACTGGAGCAGAAGATGCCTCCACCTCCGTATCCGCTTCCTCGCCTTCCCCCGCATCGCCCAACTGGTCAGCGCCCTGATCCTCCTGCTCCTCCTTCGTTGGCTCTAACCAAAGATTAGGACCCACAAATAAGGACTCGTTACCGCGGGATGAGCCACACTCACCTGTCTCGGGAACATCCACGGTCACCTCCAGCGGCACAATTATGGGTGGCACGGTGATCTCCTCCTCGTTGAACTCGTCCGGGGGCTTGATGGTCTCCTTGGTCAGCTCGTGGGCGTACTGCCGGAGCACGGAGGGCGGACTGCCCAGGACCTCCTCCACCTTCCAGAAGCACATGAGCAACTCCTTGTCGTAGAGCAGCTCGATGACCTCCGGAGCCAGCGGATTCTCGGCCGCGAAGTTGACGGTGGCGAAGTCGCAGGGCAAGATGGGGAAGACCTTGCGGTCCTTACACTGGATCTTGAGCGGATCGGCCGGCTCCGAGAGCTTCTTGAACATGTCGCGGTTCACCTGCGGCCCGAACACTGTGATCCCGATGTCGGGCAGGTTGGCCATGATGCAATCGGTGACGCTGTGCAGGTACTCCAGCCTCTTCCGGCGGCTCTCCGCCAGCTCGATCTCCTCGGCCAGGCGCAGCGCCTTGTTGCGCACCTCCTGCTGCTCCAGTTCGATCGGCTGCAGCTCAGTGATCTCGTAGCTCACGTGCGACTCCTTGGCCATCGTCGACTGCAGCATCCGTGTGATCATGACCACCAGTTTCGGCACGTCCGTGCCGAACATGATGTTGATGGCCTTGCCATTCTGAAACATTTCCACATCAACATTCAACCACTATTTAACAGGGTTTTGATTAAGAAACAGAAAAATCGAGATGATTTTTTCCAGATTTTTACCCAAATATTTTTGAATATATTTTTCGAAAATTGTGTCTAAAATTAATTTTTATATGTGAGTGCCACTTGATTGGCAATTTTGTAACGAATTCAACGAGTTATAACATTCCAACATTTTCCCATTGCTTTCTTCTGGTTTTGTCCCATAAAAAACATTTTTCTACTAATTTTTTGGTTCCTGCTTCGCGACTGTTGTGGAGGACCTAAGCTATTGTCAGTTTATTTTTATAAATGTTTGTTTTCCTCGCATTTTTTTAGATAATGAAACCTCTCTGTTATAAATCATAAGTAACATTTCTTTATAATTTGAATAATTCAAAAAAAACAGCGACAATTTGAACTTTTCTACTCTTTTTAGGATTTAGTTGCCCGATTTTGATAAACTAATAAACAAATTTTAAAAATTAAAGATTGCACAAATTTATATTTTTGAACTTAAATTTAAATCATTAAATCATGTCATTGTTCTTTCGAGTTAATACAAACAAAAAAAATAGTTTTTAACATGTTATTTAAGTTTTACTGTCTTATGAAGACATTTCCCTAGTTCTCTGAAATATAACATTGTTTCAACCGCACTCACTGTAACAAACATCCAGGTGGGCTCGCTCTTCCTGTTGAACCGCTTCAAATAGGAGATGGAACCGGCCTTGCACTGATGATTCGGAAAATAGGTACATACATATTTATGCAAGTGATATTCTTAGGTTCCCCAGTATCGAGTCTTACGATGGCCAGCTGCAGGTTATCCCCTCCAAGTTCGAGCTTGATCTTCCGAAGGCTGCCCACCATGCCCAGGCACGAGCCGCACCATTCCGAGTATATGTCGAGCACTGCGTCAGTACAAGTTGGCATGGGTTAGTGTTTATCCTACCCCAGCCATCGGCATTCTCCATTCCTCATTCCCACGTACCCAGCAATCCGGGCCGCTGCAGGAACTTCTCGAACTCCTCGTCGGTGCTGAGGTCCGCCTGGAGCTGCTGGACTCCTCCCTTCTTCGCCATTTTTCGATCACTGAGTCACCCATTAAGCAGTTTCCGATGGGGACCAGCCCCTCCAATGCGGCCAAAATAATAGAACACAATGTATTGATTAAACGTTGGTTGTCAAGAGAGCAAAGTCACGCAGGATTCGCTAAAACATAATACCCACCATGTCTGTTTTATGAACAAGCGTTTTTTTAAACTCTGGCGAAATGTTCAGTCCAGCTGAATCCCCCCCATACAACAAAGTGTATACTGCATTAGTGAACCAGATTTGGATATCAACAAGTAAGGAATGGTAAAGTAATATAATATTATTATTAATATCATATTATTAATACTACTCAATTATATAGTTGTTTTATAAAATATAAACGGAAAACTAGAACAATCCCTAAAAACATTTAGAACTTAAAGTGTAGTCCTTTTAAGGGATCGGTATAGTATTTCATTTTATCAAAGTCGGTCGACTTTATCTGTTTGTTCATGAAATAATTTTGAATATTACCTAATCGGCCCATTAGAAATGATACTTGTAAGAGGTGCTAGGCTACATAAAGATCGGACTGCCGAGATTTTAAATCAAACACCAAAAATCTTTATATGCACATTGATTTAATTAAAATATTTTGATAAAAGGGGTGTCTACAAAATATAAATCAATAGTAATTGGAAATCGGCAGGCCGACAAAGTACTTCGAAGGTCGAGAGTCCCATTCAGTGGTCGTGTCGCATTTGTCTGCGCAGCTCTCGCATAGTAATCTGCAAAAAACATTCGGCATCGTTAGAGAATCGTGCATGAGTTAATTAGGAGAATATCGATGGCGTTAGATACTTGTTGTCATTTACATTGATGAAGTAAACAAATTGCTTACGTTATTTACCTTCAGAACTGTGGAACAATCTTTGAATTACGGTTATTTACGCATCGGCTTAAGAAATCTTTAAATAATTTCAAAGTCAATAGAATTTTAGAAAATTCGAGCTCAAATTTGTAACGAGGGCAGACATACTATTACAGGTTTACTTTTGAGTGGGATATGCATGTAAATGTTGTCGGCATGGGGGGTTCTATTCGCAAGCAGAATACCGGTTAGAATAGAATGGCATGTTATTACCGGGAAGATTGCGGGATTGCGGGACTGCGGATTATTTACATATCTAATTTAACTAGAATCAATGGGCGGCGAAGTGATGCGCTCGCGCCCGTTAAATTTGTGGATTGGGATCAGTTAGACATAAATGCGATGGCGGGCGCTACTGGGTTTGATATGGTATCAATTCATATCTATATCTTCCAGTCGTACAGGCTGCGTGTACGGTATGACCGACTTCTTGTTCACGTCCCTGGACAAGGCCTTTCTCATGTCTGCAAAGAGGGGAAGGATTAAGGGTCAGCAAGGGCTTCAAAGGAATGGATTATTTATTGCGGCCCTACCGTACGCATCCTCGTCCTGGTCGCCGGAATAGTACTCGAGTATGGTGCGGTAGATAATGTAGCCTAGGTTCGTGTACATGTTTATCGCCACCTGGTTGCTCTTTCGCACGAATAGATCAACAAAGTATGCCCGCTTCCTGGAGGAATGGAAAGAAAAATATGTATGTAAATGGCGGCAGGATCTTGGAGTTCTCGTAGTCCTCACTTTTCCGAAATGTCCTCCAGGAAGCTCATGAGGAGCGCGGCCAAGCCGAGTCGCCGATAGTCGGGCGAGACCGTTAGCGCTGTAACGTGCCCGTGCCAGTTGTCCAGGTGACCCTCTACCTTGCCCATTACTGCAGCAGAATAATGTATACTAATCATTGTGGAGTAAAGGGATGAGTGGATAATGGATGCGGAACTCACTGTAGCCCATTATCTGCCCGCTGGGGGACTCCGCCAGCTGGAAGTACTCCGGCCACTTGGCCAAGTACTGCGTGTAGAAGGACAGCCCATAAGTCTCCGTAAGTGGGTCAAAGTTTCTGGTGGAACACACGATGATATTAGTTTTACTGGGTGCTAGAGGCGTATTATCGCAGGATACTCACACATTGTTGAATTTGAAGAGGTCGTCGCAGGTGAAGGGTCGCAGCGTGGTCATCTTTCGGCTAGTTTTTATAGTTATATTTACCCGATCCAATTTGGTCACCGGCAATGTCTGCAATAGAGATGCGCCACAGCCGATAGCAGGCAAACTATCGATACTTCTGTGTCGGGTACACACGATTTTGCCGCGGAAAGATAGAGCTTTCCGTACATACATATGTAAAAAACTCTTGAAACATTTCCAAATAGATGGAACTAAAATATAAAGTCGCATGCGACAAATTAAAATAGCAAGGACTAACTGGAAAGGACCATAAGTGTGACCCTAACTGCATTGGAATCGGAGCTTTCTTGCCACTACGGTCACACTAGCACGCCCACGTTTGGTCCTTCCGGCTGGTATCTGTTGCCTGGTCATGGAGCAGTCTCAGCCGCAGGCGAGGCCGTCCTCCTCCTCGGGGAGCGGGAAGCCCCAGGACTCTGGCATCTTGACGCGTGAGGACTTCGACGGCGGACCCGTGAGCATCGACGAAGTGGACGCGGGACTGTTTTTGGGTAAGACCTTGGAATGCTCCTCCTCATGCATTTTTCACCTTCGTTCTGCTTTCGCCCAGGCAACCTGACGGCGGCCACGCACATGGAGACGCTGCGCTCTTTTAAGATCACCCACATCCTTACGCTGGACTCGGTGCCCCTGCCACAGCACATCCTGGAGGCCAGCTTCCTCACTACCAAGTACATCCAGAGTGAGCAGCTTTGGAATAGCTCCCACTGGTGTGTTCATCCAATGAATTCCTCGTTTCAGTTGCCGATATGCCACGCGAGGACATCCTGCAGCATTTGGAGGGCTGTGTGGACTTCATCAGCGCCGCCCTGGCCCAGCAGGGCAATGTCCTGGTGCACTGGTAAGCATATGGCCCAGGTCAGCCACTGAATCATCCCATTCCCATTTCCCTCGTTTCACCACCAGCTACTTCGGCGTGAGTCGCAGCTCCTCCACGGTGATCGCCTACATGATGAAGCGCCACAACCTGGACTTCATGCCTGCCTACGAGCTGGTCAAGGCCAAGCGCCGATTCGTTCAGCCCAACGCCGGGTTCGTCAGCCAACTTAAACTCTTCCGCCGCATGGGCTGCAAGATCGACCCCAGCTGTCAGCGCTACAAGATCCACCGGCTGCGCTTGGCCGGCGAGCAGATGCGCAAGGCCAAGATCCTGCCTCAGAGCTTCCACAACGTGGTCCGCCCGGATCCGGATATCACACGCGAGAACCCGGAGCCAATAGTGTTCCGCTGTCGTCGCTGTCGCCGCGTTCTGGCCTCCAAATCGCACGTGCTGGAGCACAAACCGCGCGACAGGCCACCGCAAGAGGTGGTGGTGCCCAAGGAGAAAGCCAGTGGCCAGGGTCAGTCACAAGGCCAGTCGCAGGATCAGGTTGAGAACCCGAATGGACCTCGCTTGCTAGACCAGTTGGCCGAGCGCATCCGGCAGTCATCACTTGGTTCGCCCAGTCATGATGGCACGCCAAACTATTGCCGGAGCATACTGTTTGTGGAACCCATTGCCTGGATGCACCGCATCATGCTGAACACCCAGGGCCGCCTGTACTGTCCCAAGTGCGAGCAGAAGCTGGGAAATTTCAGCTGGATCAACGGTTGGGTTTGCCGGAAGACAAAGTGATCCCTTTTCACTATTAATGACTCCATTTCCTGCAGCCTGCAAGTGTCCGTGCGGGGAGACGATGACGCCAGCATTTTACCTGATACCTTCCAAGGTGGAGCTCTCCAAGGCCGTGCAAAACGTGCAGACAACAGTTTAGGTGCAACATGCACCAAATAGAACGAGACGGCATCAGAGTTCTGGTACAGAAGCGGGATTGCTGGACGCCCTTGTCAGCACACACCGATCGGCAATCGCCCACCTAGACGAATGTCAATGGTCACTGTCACCAGGACGCATTAATCAGAGTTTGTGTTTGTAGTCCCTGCTATAGGCATCAAGTTATGGTTAAAAAGATATTTCTAAAGAAACGTGTGGTATTTGTGATACTCGGCGTAAAGAAATAACAGTATTAAGTCGTTTAATTTGAAATATCTTCTTTAGAATTCCATTTGATTGACATGCATTACATTAAATACCATTTATTAGTATTGATTTGTTATTTTATTTCATATTTTAATTTAAAGGATAAGAATTTCTTAGTATGAAATGTTATTCGTATTTTAGTAGTCGTATTCACAGGCTTTGAAAACACATACAAATAACTATAATTTAACGTATTTTTCATTTAACATTGTAATTTATAGAATTTATTATGAAAATCTTGGGAAAGTAACGACTTTTTGGGAGGATATATCGCAAATTCATTCCAAAGTGAAAGTCCTATTCCAAGTTCCAAAAAATTAGAATCCACGATTAAGTTAAATATGTGAAAAATGTCTAGTATAACAAAATTGTTTTTCTTAAAATACAAAAAAAGTGAAGGCAATCTTATATGTATATCAATCAAATGAAATTTTCTCTCTAGAAGATATTTTAGTTTAGTCAAAGACGTTATTTTCTTCACATCGTTATATCTCAAATATTACATGCCAGAAACGAATATACGGATGCAGTTCTGCGTTAAAACCTGCACCTTTTACAAAGGGTTATTTTGTTGTCCTGTATTATTAGTCAGGTGCATATTGAAGCCCTGGTTATACATCGTGCTGAATATCGCCACAAACCACAGCCGCTTCGGCGTATCTGAGATCTTAATAATTAATAATATACTCTTGGGATAGAATTTGAATCGGTTATAAAAACTGTTGTCATGTCACAGTATCAAAACTTCAACGCATATAACGTAATACAACAGGAAAAAAAAAAGAAAACTAACATATCTCAGAAACCAACTTCGGATTCAATTTAGTCAACTAAAATGCACTTTTCGTAAGAATAAGAAATAATCAAACAGTATTTGTTTATTTCCAAATGGCAAAATAACGTTGACAATTCGAGTTAAGAGAAATTTTGTAAAACTAAAACTGTTACATAACTGACATTATGGTTACGGTTTGGGCTCGAAATTTTGTTTCATTTTATATAGTTAGCTAAACAATTTGCCGATATAATTAATTATACACGTACATAAATTTGTTGGAAACCATGATAAAATATCAATTTTTGCTGTTCCATATGCATTTGCATAGCTTTTTGCATGTTACCAACACACTAACTATAAATGTATTTTAGATATTTTAACCTTTTTGGAAAGAATTTTACGCAAAACGAAAAAAACAAAATTTTCAATGACAATATCTAAATTTACGCGATAAATGTTATAGTCAAGGGCTTGTCAGCCAAAGAGTCGTGTCTGGGATCGTCTATAAAAGTTAGGACTTTGAACCGAAGGTGTTAGACACGCTGTAGGTATCCTCAGACATTGGCACCACCTTATCGATATTGATGTGCTTTGTTGACCTATATGTGTTGTATGTAAATGAGTGTGTATTGATATTAAAATCAAAATTGTTTGTTTTCCATACCAAAATGTTTGCAATTTCGAGGAGCCTTCGGATGAGCCGCTGCCTTTCGGGTTTCCGACGTGGTTTGAGCCTAAGCTGCCAGTCCGGCCCTCGCATCCTGGCCGCCATCGACTTCGACAGGACCATCGTGGAGGAGGACTCGTACTTGGCAGTCAGCCGGCTGTTGCCCACCCGGCAACGCCAGGAGCTGCAGGAGCAGATCCGGAAGTCTGGCTGGCTGGCCTTCATAGCCCGTGTGCTGCAGCTGCTGCACGGCGAGCACAAGGTGAACTCCGCGTCGGTGGGAATGCTTGTGCGCCGTTTGCCGGCGGTCCCAGGGATGCTACGCGTGGTGCGGCGTCTAGCCAGGAATCCGAAGGTCGACCTGTGCATCGTCAGCGATGCCAACTCATTCTTTATCGGCGAGTGGCTGCGGGAATACGCCATTGAGTGCCTCTTCGCCGGCGTTTTCACCAATCCCGCCTGCGTGCAGTCGAGCGGCGAGGTTCTGGTGCTGCCCTACGAGGAGCAGGGCCACTGCGAGCTCTGCCCCTCCAATTTCTGCAAGGGGGCCGTGCTGGAAGAGCTCATCTGCAGCGGTAAATACGAGCGAGTGATCTACGTGGGCGACAGCTGCAATGACCTGTGCGCCATGAAACGGCTGCGGGAAAAGGACGTGGCCTGCATTCGGCGCGGATTCGAGCTGTTCGGAAAGTTGGCCGCCCACGGGCGTGACCTGAACTGCCACGTGCTGACCTGGCGAGATGGCCATGAACTGGAGGAGCTCCTGATGCCCAAAATCGTGGCGTAGAGTTTGTGGTAAGGCCAGGTTATTAATGCTGCTGTTTTATTCGACTTAAAAATAAATCTTTTAGTATGTATACATAAGAATAATTTCACTTAATAAGGACTTAAGCATTAAATTCCATGGAAAAGTAGATTAACGAGGTCTCTTCAGCGTCTGCAGCTGGGCCCGTGTGAATATCCACTTTGTGTTAAGTAGACCGAAGACTTATAGCTACCTATTCATTTATCGTTCGCTATTGCTGCTGCGGCGGTATCAGAACTGTTTTCCTAATATTATTTCACACACGGTTTTTTCATCAATCTTTGCCTTCTCCTCATTCTTTTTCGCCGAAATTGTATATGTTCTTGTGCTTTTATCTTATAGTTACAGGTAATATATATCATTTGTTTGCGTGTGGGTGTGTGGGTTCCTTTGTTGGGTATGTGTTAGCATAAATTACATTTATAATACATTCTTAACCGTACAATTACAGAGTAGAACTTCGCTCCCTACTATTCTTTATCAAACGAAGATATAATTATCCTCTTACGAGTCTAGCAAGACTAAACAAAAAAAACAAGCAGCTACCGCACACGAAGACACTACTTAGGTTGTGCTTAACTACTTAAATGGACTACGGGCCGTAGTTCTTATAAATACAGACATATACATGTTCAAAAAATTCGGCGCATAAGACATTTAAAATCAAAAAGGGGCTCATTTTGCGTGTATATATAAATATAGTATATAGATACAGTGGTTAAGACTTAGAGGCTGAGAAATAGACACTATTTCGATTCAAAAGTGAACAGTAATACCAAACGTTAGGCCTACAGATGTGGACAACGACAAGTACGTGCACCAGGATTAGTACACGGTCACGAAAGTACAAACAAAGCTGTCGTTAAAACTGAAATCTGTTTGCATAGGCGCGCAATTGAACTAAAATGCGTCAAATGAATTCTCTAGAAACAAAATGAAACTGACTTAGTGCTAGGTTTTTAAACTTTAAACGTAAAAGAAGACTTAAGCATAACATGGTCTACTCGGTGATTTGGGTGCTTGTCATGTGTGTGTGTTGTGTTTATGTGGTTGGGTTGTTAACATTAGCAAAGTTAAGTAACATAACTATAATAGGAATATTCGTATATATATATATATGTAGATATATATAAACAAACATGTGTGTATATATATATATATTTACATATATATATCTATATATATAACAATCGCAATGCGATGTACTGACAATAAAAAATAATGATAGTAAAAAAAATTCTTAAATATTTTTTTCTCCAATCCGGTTCCTCTTGCTGTCGCATTAATTAATACTATGCATCTGCGTATTTTTGGGATGGCGGCAGCGGGGTCACGACCACGCTGGGGGCTTGAGGAAGAGTGGCGCGTCCGGCGCTAACTATAAGTCCGTTAGAGTGCGCTTGGCACAATAACGTATGACCCCCACTCAGGCAACAACCGGCGGCGGAGCTATGCCAATGGGAGTGGCAGCCGTTGCTCCTGATGCCGCTGTGGCCGTTGTTGTGACAGTCGCCGAGTCCTCGGAAACCCCGTTCCCACTGAAGCTGCTGCTGCACTGCATCGTGGTGATATTGACAGCATTTCCCGGCTGCCGCCTACCCATCGTGCCCGCAATGGTTGTGGTCGCCACCGTCGCCTCCAGAACAGGTGGCAGTGATGCCACGGGCATAGCTGCCTTTGGACTCAATGCCGCCGCCGGCGAGAGAGCGTGGCCTCCGTTGGTCGCCAGGCTTGGGCTCGGTATTGAACTGGCATCCGTGCTCATGGACATGGTCTCCGAAACGGTAGGGACTGTTGCAGCCACGACTGTCGCCGGCTGCCGCTTGGCGGGCTTGGTTCGCGCACAGGGTACGCAAAACATGGCAGCGTGCTCGCGCAGCTTCGTCAAGTGGTCGAGGCGGTACTCGTGCACCCATTTCAGACGTTTGCTGCGCGGCAACGCCTTTGAGCGCTCACCGTGGGGAGAAGGACCTCCTGATGCCTGAGTTAGGGCGGCCACCTGGGGTAGTCCCTCCGGCTGGGTGGCTCCGCATCGCATGCACACACAGCAGCGTTCACAGCTCCAGCGTCCTGCAATTTTGGAAAGAGTGTCTTCGTTAACTAAAAACTATCACATTGTTCTCTCAAGTAGAATCATCTGCATTAATATTTGCAATCCAAACCGATAAAATCAATAATTTGGCAATCAGATTAACAAACTTAGAACAGTCACGTTAGATATTTATATAGCATTCCATTCTACGTAGACAAATCTTTGAATTACAAATGTAAGCTTTTATCTTGAAATACTGCCTGTTTTCTTTGAACATAGACCTCATAGATTCCACTTGTAATTGCGGTTTTGGCCCTTCACTACTTACCATCTGGCACCGATCTCAGCCCTAGGCAGTAAATGTGGTAGCCTCGGTCGCATTGCTCGCAATAGAGCATCTTTCCTGGCCGCTGACTACTCCGGCACTTGATGCAGCACTTGCACCCGGCGCACTGCCAGTTATAGTTTTGCACGCGACCCACCATTCGCTGAGGCATCTCAATGCAACTAGGATGGACTGCAAAACGAACAGATATTAGAACGGAGGGGGAGTGACGGATGGCGAAAAGCTTACCTCGCCTCCGGCAGCTGTAGCAGCGGATAAAGGCCTCCGGCATGTCCCTAGCATTGCGGTGCTGGCTGCGCAGACAGACACCACAGTTAGACAGCCTGGTCGATGGCATGGACTCGTTCCCATCCTCGTCCTCACTGCCAGCTCCACTCGAGGCACCCGTCGAACTGCAGCAGCTCGAGCTGCTACTAAAGTCGCTTTCATCGCCGCTGTCCTGCAATTTTAAAAGTTCAGATGCGATTATATTTATTGACTATCATAAATATCTTACAGAGGCAACTATGCAATAGCCTTCATTCTATGAGTACGATCATAAAACTAGTTTATGCAAAACATGTTTCTTAATCTCACTGTATCAAAGTCATATTTATCCTATCGTCGTTTTTAAGATAATTAAGTATTTATCAAAATTTTTTCCATATATTTATTTATTTTATTTATATAAAGCTAGCTTAAGTTTTAAAACTATGAACTAACTATAATAAGAGCAGCTGAGGCCTTCCGCTCGTCTGGGATGACAGTAATAATTTAATTTAAAGAAATAAGAACAATTTTAGATTTTGTGAATAAGTTGGGCTTTTTGAAGAAATGAAATGATTTTAGTTATGTTTTCATTGGAAGGGTTTGCTATGATGTTGGCTGGGTTGTCAGAAAGGAAGGATGTAGCTCTAGGTTGGGAGAGGGAAGGGCAGGAGCATAAAATGTGGTCAATGTTTAAATGAGAGCTGTTGCAGTATGGGCAAGTGTGAGTTGAGGTGAGGTGTGTCCTAGTCGAATTCGGTTTATAATTATTTGGGTTTTCCTATTATGATTGGTGTGCGAGTACGTAAAGCTTGAAGGAGTATTTTTAACGATATTGTTATACCAGGGAGAGGTATTGTTATGCAGGTCGGATTGTTTTAATTTAATGTACTTTTTGAGGTAGTGTGTAATGTCGTTAGTGTTGTTGTTTTGTGTGTATATAAGCGGGTATTTTTGTGTTTCTTTTGCTGTTTTGTCAGCATTCTCATTGCCTTTTATGCCGATGTGACTAGGGATCCAAATTAGTTTGATTTTTGGGAAATGATTGGTAATTAGGTTTCATATGATTGTAGGGTAGAAGGAGTGGTTGTTAAAATTAGTAAGGGAGTTAAGGGACGATCCAGTTTAGGACTACACATTTTGTTCAAATCTTCGATGGCATAAAATCTTATTTTCCCGCTATTAATTAAAATGTTTACAAAGCTATCTTGATTTTATCATAAAAGGCTTTATAAAAAATTAGATTAAGAAAGTCCTTAGGACTTTGGCACTTCCGCTCGACTTACCGTATCACTACTGCTACCGTTGCCGCTGGACGCGGATGAGAGCGACAGGGCGGACGAAACACTAGAGTTGCTTGCCGTGCGCACCTTGTCCGTCTGCTGGCGTGTCGATCTTCTGCTGCGTCGAATAGGCGCCGCCACCGTTTGGCTTTGGTTCGCAGGCTGCTCTTGTTCCAGATCCACGATGACGGAGGCAGAAATTTCATTTTCTTCTCCGCCAGTAACTTCGTTCCTACGCTGAAGTAACTGCGACTCCACCTCGGTTGGCGGCTTGTCCAGCGCTGTGTCCAATGGATAGGCTCTGTAGGCAAATATGAATTTTAGAGGGCTGTGCAAATGAGAATCCTACGAGAGAGACTTACCGAAGCTCGGCGGGCTCAAAGTGGCGATAGGCCAAGGAGAACTGGTCTGGCACCACTGTGAGTGGAAAGGCGTAGTCTGAGTGCCGAAAGGCCTCATCGTAAACGCGGGGTGGCAAAAGACTGGGTGGAGCCGGGATGTTCTCTGCCTCTGCTGCTGCCCGCACCAGATTCGTAATAGAGCGCTGTAGGAGGGTAAAGGTGGGCGCCGTCCTTTGCAGCGGCTGATTCATAGTAAACGTCTGCAAATCCAAGCAAGCTAGACGCTCGTCCTTACGGCTGCATGGAAAGCAATGAAAAGATAAAGCCGTTAGAATGACGTGGCTTTGTTAAAGGACTGCTAGATTCCAACTCACGTCTTGTTGAAATAAACGTTCCACTTGCTGGCCGAGAGCATGGCACGGTCACGCGCTTGCAGACCTCGTCCGGCACCGACCGTAAGTCCCAGCGCCTTCTGCTTCGCCTCGATTTCGCGCAAGTGCTTTTGGCGAATGTACTCCTTGTACTCTTCGTACTTATCGTAGAAGTCCGCGTACATGATGTCCAAGATGTCGGAGGCCCACACAGCGGTTATGCCTAGGTCGCACATCCTCTCGCTGACCAGCCCCTTCTCCTGCAACCAATTGCGCTCCTCCATGTCGACGGCACGCCGTGGCAGATCCGGGTACTTGCGCTTAAAGCTGGTGATGCCCAGGTAAAGGGCCACCTGCTCTTGAATCATAAAGGTGTCGCGGTTCTTCGAGGGACAACAGCCTTTGGGGGGCGGCCAGTCGTACTCTGCGATGCTGGAGGCACTGTAGTCCGTGCTGCAATTTAATCTAGAGTAAGTTAATAGATCGAGTTAAGTTGGATGCACTTACTCTTCGGCCACGCAAATTTCCATCTTCTTTTTCTTTGGACGTTTTAACGCAGAACCCAGAATAGCGTCGACGGACTGACCCTGATTCGAGTCGAGCATGCTTACATTGCTTACCATAGACGACTGCGACTCCTCGTTGTTAAGGAAGTCTGGTTGCCTGAGTAGGAGAGAGGAACTTCTTAATTCTGATGCTGCTTAAATTTGCGAAAGGAGAACTTACTTCTGCGGAGTTAGCGGGGGTTCCATTAGGCTGGCCATCGACTGATTACTGTTGCTTAGATCTGCGCTCATACGCGTGTCCTCTTCAAACACTTGCGGCGACTAAAAAATGTACAAGATAATAAAAAATAAGATAATGAAATTCCATTGTCGATGCATTACGCTAGGGTAGGTAGCCCATAAAACACAGCGCTTGGGATATATGGAGATAAAGAAAAAACTTGGCATGATCTTGTAAAGCCACAGAGCATCACCCTGAACAAGCCTTAAAATCCGTAAATATTATAATTTTATTAATTGTGAAGTAGAATTTTCTTAAACCTAAATTGTTTTAATGTTTTTTAATGTCACCTTGAAAACGTTAAAAACTATTTTAGTTCATGATCATGTATGTATATTCTGCCCTCCGCATACTCGGAACAATGTTTAAAAACAACGAACCTAAACCAACCTGTTTATATGGATACCCCCAACGTATGTTCTAAAGAGTTTTTAAAAGTTTATGCCGAATCGCTTATGCACATGTGTATGTTTGTCCTGGTCCTGTCTCATTAATGATGACCTACAAGCTTCTGTTCAAAATTATAATTCCCTCTATATAAAAATATGGTAAGCTCTATTGAAAAGTGATGTCCTTACACATAATTAATTATCTATTATACATAAGCAAGGACTTTTTGCACATGTTTAGACGTGCATCAGGAAAACCACCGAGCGGAGTTGCCAGCTCCCAACGAAATGCACATACAAAGCTTCGCTGAGAGAGCGAGAGGAAGAGAGCCAATAGAGAGCGACGACTGCAACAGCAGCAGCAGGTGTGGTGAAGGTGGACTACCGCCAGCGAACACGCACACTTATACACATGTGCGTTCGTGTGCGATTGGCGAGAGCCAAACAAAAACTTCAGCTGATTAAAATCGCAGGTGAAGCCAACAACAATCACAGCGACTGCGCTGCTGAGTTCGCAGCTGCTTCTTTTTCTGCTCCCCCTTTTCCCTGCCCCTGTATCATCCGGTAATGCAGCAGCGGCTCGCCTCGTTGTTGCTTTTGCACTTACACTAGGCTGTTGGCAATGAATTCACGAGATGGCGCGCGCCTTTGTTTTTAATTACGACACGTTAGCCCTCGGTGTGTGTATGGGTATGTGGGCAAATTTACGTAACAAAACATAAACAAGAAAGCAATGTAATGCAAATTATAAACGCCAGTAGAAGCCCCAACTGTACTGACCATCTTCAACACGATGGCCCACATTTGTAATATCGAGAGGAACTGGTGACTATCTCGTTTCATCTCACTGTCTCTCGTTCCCTTTACTCGCCACCTATCAACAACGGGGTTATCATGAATAGGATTTACAAAACTACCCTTGTTCAAATACTTCGAACATAACTTTTTTAATGCAAGGATCAGCAAACAAATATCTCTTTTTGGGCTTAGCTGAAAGCTGATATACAAAAGACGACAATTCGCCGGTCTTCTTAATAATCTCGCTAGTGTTCGGCGATTCGTTTTTTTTAATCTAATTTACATCGATCGCAATATTCCGGAACAGGTCGTACTAGTCAAGTCCCAAGTATTTTACTTTTTAAAAAAAATAACACAATATATGCTTTTGAACTATGCAAACTTTTTTTTTGAGAAGTGCGTTCGTCGTAAGTATACGAAATTGAATCTCTCTTTTCTTTGAAATATAACTTTAAATAAAAATAAAATAAAGCATTTGAATGGGCTTTAAATACATTTGTTGATTGTGATTAATTAAAATAAAAACTTTGTAATCCCTAGTATGCCTTGAATACAGCGATCTGTAACAAGAAAACCTAACTTACCGGACTGAACAAGCCTTTAAGTCTCTCGGGATCGGGCGTGTGCTTCAGGCCGCCCACGCAGCGCGGTCGACTCATGGCGATGGCCTTGGCCACGGCGCTAGCACCACGGCTCATTCGTGGCGCCCGAGGCTGCGTGGTCGGGGTCGTGGAGGCGGTGCCTCCGCTGGCGCCTCGATCTGCAGAAGAAGAGCCTCTGTTGCTGTTGCGTCCAGCGCCACCTCTGGATCCCCGGCCACGCCCCCGTCCCCGCGTCGGAGTCGCCATCGAAAGGATCGGCAACGTCGTTACGGATTCGTCTGGAAGCAGTTTTTCGTGTTTATTTAAATTAATAACGATTCTAACAATCATTTATTACCTCCGGAGTTGTCCAGCGCGCTATTATAGTTATCCTCATCGAGCGAATCTGGTTGGCTGCCACCGGCACTGCCACCGCTGATGCTGGAGGGGCGCGGTGAACGGAGCTGTTGGGTGGCCATGATCGAGGAGAAATCATTCGGCTGAAAGATGACATCGGGCAGCGGGTCGGACGAAGACAGGATCGTCGTGGGCGGTAGCATCGAGCTACTGCCGCTACCACTGATCACCTGCTGGTTGGCGGCAGCGCCGGAAGAGGTCGACGAGCTGGACGAGCACATGGTTAGGTCGATCTGCGCGGACAGGGCGAATGTTATGCTGCTGCTGTTATTGTTATTGGACTCGGTCTCATGGCTTCCGAAGTGAGCCATCGTTGGCGGCGGCAGCTGGCTATGCTGAGCACTGGCCTTGCTCTGGCGCTTCCGTGTGGACTTGGGTGTGGGCTGCAGGTTGGGATTGTGGGTCGTGGTACGCCGCGTAGCCCTTAGCTGGCGGTGTTCACGGCTCTTGGGCGTCTCCAGTGCGCCAGCTAGCTCATCGTCTACCCTTGCATTCTGCTCTCCCACGGAAGGGCCTTTTTGTGTCATGTCCGCCTGTTCCTGACTAACCATGTCAATAGCCAGTCGCTTGCGTAGCAGTTGTACGCGTCGCGACTTGACAGCGCTATTGGTCTCCTCCTGTGGAGTACCGGGCTTGGGGGTAACGGCGGCCAAGGCCCCGGATAAGGCGGACTCGCTTGTGCTCTGGTTCTGGATCCGTTTGGGCCGCCCCCGTTTCTTGCCCGTGCTCGCCGGCGTGGCTACAGGCGGGGGTTGAGTGGGCGGCTGTTCCAGCGGATCCTGAGCCTTTGGATCCTCCACCTCGGCCCCAGAAGACAAGGCCCCATTTTGATCCGGCGTGGAAATTGCCTGCTGCTGTTGTGTGGGTGGAAACAGAGCATCTTCCAGATCCGTATTGAGGATTCGCTCGTGTTTCTGCTTGCGCGAGCGATGCGACGGCGGCAGCGCCTGCACCGATTCACCGGGACTGGCGTTACACTTTCTTGCTGGATCATGGCAATTCTGCGTCTGCTGGTCATTCTCGTCGTTATCCAGACGTCTCTGTTTGTTGGGAGGGATCTGTGTGAGGCAAAGCAATATATCAAGTTAAATTTAGATTACGAAAAATGCTAGCTACAACACTTACGCCACTATTGGGAGATTCATTGACCTCGCTATTAGTGCGCTTCAAGTGGTTCTCGTTGTTGTTGTCCAATTCCTGAAGCTGCTGGTCCTCTTTATGCTGCTCCTCTCCACGAGCCACGGTATGCTGGTGGTTGGTTTGGTGATGGTTGTTGAGCAACGGGGGCTGGTCGTCGTCCATGTATTCGGCTCTTGGACTGCCATCAGGCGTGTCTAAAATCTCGATGGACTCGATGATAGGCTGGGCGGAGTTCGCGGATACCAGCTGACCAACGGTAGGTTCGATCTCTGGCGCAACAACAGATCCGCCACCGGTACCGCCACCATTGGCCATCAGACGCTCCGTTAGCTGCGGATACTTGCTAGACTTGCTCTTGGGCGTGGCAGTAGAGAAGCTCTTGGCCGGTGCCGTCAGCTGGCTAAGCAAGATATTCGAATTGGGCGAGGATGGAGCGCCAACGCCACCTTCACCCGTACCAGTTGTGAAACCCGATGCAGCTTGCACCCGCAGACACTCAAAAAGCAGGTTGCTCGGTGAAATCGTCATGGCCACATGGGCAGGCGAAGACCCAGGTGACGGGGACGAGGTCAGGTCCACCATGTCCACCACGTTGTGCTGCGGTTGGGCTGGCTTACCGGCCTTGTTAGCACCGCTGGCAATGCCGTTGCTGGCGGCCAAGGGCGGGAGGTTGTGAAACATCTTGGGGTCGTGCTCCTTGGACAGCGAATCGTCGATTACCATGTCGTCCGAGTTGCGACGTCCGTCGTCAGACGCTGCAACAGCTGGATCTGCGTCTGGGTCGGAGAAGCCGCAGAACTCCTGGCTGCTGCTGTTTGACTCGCCACCATTCGTCATCGGAGCGAGCGTAGGATTGGGTGCTGGTTTTGGGGCTGCCAATTTAGAGGCCGCCGATGGCACCTTCTCCTCGAGCACCGCACGTACCTTGTGCTTGGGCGAGCATAAGTTCTTGATGGTCAGCTTGGGCAGGGGCTGCAGCTGTTCCAGCTTAGACGCCGGATCGTCCTCGAGCAACTCAATGGACTTGGTCTTGATCGTGAGCTTGGGGATGCTCTGGGCGTTGTTCAAGTCGTGCGTCATGATGACCGTGTGTAATTGTTCCTGACCGCCACCGCCCGTCTTGATGGTTAACTTTGGTATCTGCTGCTGCTGGTGCGGATGCTCCTCGCTGCTGCTGATACAGCTGCTTCCGGCCAGCGTTGTCTTTATCATCAGCTTGGGCACCGTCTGCATCTCCGCCAGAGAGCTCGACGATGACGATGAGGAGGAGGACGAGGCAGACGAGGACGAGGCGGAGGCGGGCGAGAGGCTGGACAAGTGGGCGTCGTTCTTGGCGGGCATCGCTGACTGGGCGCCACTCACTGCCGACGAGCACGATCCGGAGTTTGAGCTGGAGCCGGAGGCAGCTGGGTTCTCGGGCAACTTAATGGTCAGCTTGGGCACTACGCTGCCCACGCGCCTCTCATTGGCTGCGCGGATGGTCAGCTTTGGCACTATGTGCGGGGTGTTCCGCAGGTGTTGGCCGAGTGTGCTTACCACCTCGTCCTCTGCGCACGACGAGGAGCATGAGGAGGCGTCCGCGTCGAAGGCGTCCTGCGGCTTGGCCAAGGCTCCTTCCCCACCTCCACCGCAAGGCAGCTGGATGCGCAAGGGCTCCACCCGCCTCTCGTCGCCTCCCGACTGAGATTCATTTGGGTTTGAGTTCGGGTTGGCGTGCTTGGAGAGCTTCAGGATGATCTTGTGTCCGTCCCGCTCCTCGCCCTCTACCTCGAGCGGCGTGGCAGCCATTGCTCCACCTGCTGTTCCTGCTGCTGCTTCTCCGGATGCTGCGCTGACCGATGCAGATGCTCCAGTTGTGCTTGGGGCATCGTCGCACGGCGTCGGCGGTGGTTGCGTCGGCGGAGGCGACGCTGTGGTGCTGGTTATATGGCCAGGCTGGTTGTGCTGGTGCTGCAGTGCCTCCTCGCGCTGCTGCTGTGGCTCCTGCTCTTGCTCCCGCTCCCGATCCGCATTCAGCTGTTGATCCCGCTGTGCTGGCGACGACGTGGAGCTAACCCGCTGCTCCTCCTCGCTCGTGCTGCTCGCTGCCACTGACTTTGGGTTGGAGTTGGGCTGGAGGCGACCTGCTGCTCCGGCTGATCCTGCTGTAGACGTGGCGGCTGCTGATTCTACCGCTGTTCCCGATTCCGATCCTGATGACGATGTCGCTGCTACCATCTGCTGCTGACGTAAATCATTCATTTCTAAATTCGATTGTCCAGTGGCCGGCAGCCTGCAAGGATAAGCAGAGGTTCTTATTAGGCGGTGTGTAATGGAAATTGTATAGTAGAGGTGTTCCGACAATTGATTTTTTCTGATCCGACCTTAGATCTTTAACGGAAGCTTAAAAGATAGATTGAATTAAAATGGATACCTTAACATTTGGTTTATATGTTGATTTAAAGTATAATTTATATTTTATAGGACAGGTACATGGTACTTTAATCACTTGATGGATTATGATTTTTTTTCTGAGAATTTTACACAAAACTTTTTTTGACACCAGAACTTTTACTTCTGAGAAAAATACAATTGTGATCATAATGATCATAATTTAACGGGACACCTCTAGTATTATAAAGACTATATTATATGGCGTGATTCCCAGAAAAGGTGCGAGTTTCAATTGTCTGGGGAGGGCGAAATTGGAACATTAGTTCCAATTGCATATATATTTATATGTTTGTGTTTATAGGGCAATATAATCCTAGCGAAATTCATCTATGTCTACACATGTTTTTGTGTATAATTTCCGCCCCAAGGGACAGATTTTGTTTAGATTGAGAAGAGACAAAATAAAAGGGGAACGACCTACACACACACTTGCACACTCTCACGCAAACACACGCTTTGGAGCCCGATGAAAGAAAATTGAATGAAAGCCGGACAAAGTTAGAGATCTAATTTTAGCACATGTCCAAATTATTACTCCGTAATTACATCCAAGGGAAGCGCAGATTAAGGCAGTCACCCAGATTCCGGAGGATAATGTCTTCGCCCCGAGAAAAACTATCACTTGAAATTGCCGCGAAAACTCCGAGCGGAATAACAACAACACTTAATAAATAATAAGCGCTGCAAACATGCGCACACAGCTGTCGATTGGGGAGAAAGATGAGGACGAAGCGGAATGGCGAAGAGCGGAAAAGAGAGCGAACCAGCGGAATAGGTAAATGCTGAGAATGCCGCGCCGCCACGAATTATGGCCTGGTTTCTGGTGTGTGTTGGCAACACTGCCGCGCACAGGCCGAAATCCACCACACTGGCCTGCGAACCCACCACAGCAGTCGCCGCTGCATGGAGAAAATACACACACACACACAAGTGCAGGGGCTATGTATGTATGTATTTAACTGACTAAATGCAAGCGCATCTGCAGTATTATTATATTCACACGATTTCGGGGGCCCCAAAAGCTCCAAGCGCAACTGAGCATCAACAACGACGGGCGACGCCGAAACCCTGACCCAACCACCAACAGTAACAACAACAATAACGGGATAAGAAGCAGCGGCAAGCAAACGACAAACTCACCATGCGGCAAAGTCGTCGCTCAGAGTCAGACAAAAGAAGATGGAGTAGAAGAGCGCCTGCCTTTGGTTTGCGTGCACAATTCGCGATTCGAGCTCATATTTCTAATTTCTCTGGTTTGGTTGCGACTGCAACTGCACTTTGACTGCTGTGTCTTTAGGCGTTCTGTAGCGTTGGTCGGGGAATAAAACACATTTTTCGAATCGAAGCACTGGCACGCACACTTTCGCAGCGCCACAGTACACACAAACACAACACACACACAACAGAAACGGACACAGACACAGACCGTTGTCCCACTTTCCGTGTATTGGTTTCGTTTCGTACGTTTCGTACACTTTTCCACGCACTTTTAACGATTCGGTACAGAAGAGGGACAACGCATTTAACGCTCGCAAACCTCAAAAAAATATCCTCCACTTGGGCAAAGGCAACGGCAAACGCACGCACGATTCATACGCAGACTGGTTCGGCGCGCGTCGAAGTCGAACGTTCTTATGCATTCATTATTAAACGGTATGCTCTGCTTCGCCTGTCTGCTTATGTTTTTTTCTTTTCGATTCCGAGGTACGGTACTCGTCACGACGAATGAAAATCAGTGTGACCGCCGCCGGACTGCTAACTCATCCACGGGTTCAGAGAAATCCACTAAAAAATGACACAAGGGGCTAGAACACATTAGGGATGACACGAACCGGGTGTGAATCCTAGATAGCAGCTACCGAAAACCATCGATAACTCAATAAACACAGCATTATTTGGTTTGAGTCGAGACTAGTTTGGACTATATGAATTGGTTCTGTACCATTCTAACGATAAACTACTTTAATCAGCTAGCTAGCACTGTAGTACGATTTAAGATTTAAATATATTATACAAAATAATAAAACATTAGTTTGCATATTTTATTCTGAAAGATGGGATTGTTCTGGTGCCCCTGTCTAAAATAAAGTTTATAGGTTTCATAATGAAATTGTGATATTAAACTTAAAGGGTTGTTTGCAAGTGTGACCAACTAGTAATAAACAATAAGAACCGGATCCACTGGGACTCTCAACTAATAATTTATTTCGAGTGATATTTTCGGTTAACCTTTTTATTTAAAATATAATTGCCCATAGGCTTAATATAGTCAACACCACGCAGAGTATTCATTTTCGCCACGACTGATGCGTAACTAAAGCTTTTCAGCAGCAATGCGGTATTTTCTCAAGGCATTTTAAATGGGTTTTGGCTTTGGTCACACTGTTTGACACACAACATTGGCATCTTAAAAAGTTATTTTTTCCCACTTGTTTTTCTATTTATACTGAACAAATTCAAATTGGGGTCGACAAAAACCATAATCACAGCCAATTTTCAAGCTGTAACTTCTGCAGGCCTTGGTTGCGTGCAGCGGCTTACCGCCAGAGTTCCGAAACAACGAAGGTCGAAAAGTCCGGCGAAAGTTGAGAACCACATCTTTGCAAGCCTCCAGAAGTCGAAGCCTCGCGATGAGTGCGCAGCCGAGTCCGCTAATGAATCCTCAGCAGCAGCAGCAGCAGAGCGAGCAGGAGAAGGTAACCCAGACCAGATTCGGTATGCATTAGGCATTGCTAATTGCTGCTTTTCCCACTTCTACGCCAGGTGTATCAGTGGATCAACGAGCTGGCCCATCCTGACACGAGGGAGACCGCCCTGCTGGAGCTGAGCAAGAAACGGGAGACCGACCTAGCCCCCATGCTGTGGAACAGCTTCGGGACCGCCTGCGCCCTGCTGCAGGAGATAGTCAACATATATCCCTCGATTACGCCGCCCACCCTGACGGCACACCAGTCGAACCGCGTCTGCAACGCCCTGGCCCTGCTGCAGTGCGTCGCCTCGCATCCGGAGACGCGCACGGCCTTCCTGCAGGCGCAGATACCACTGTACTTGTACCCCTTCCTGTCGACCACGTCTAAGACCAGGCCATTCGAGTATCTGCGGCTGACCAGTCTCGGCGTCATTGGAGCGTTGGTCAAGGTGGGTGTGAGCCAAAAGACTGCGCGGAATATGTGCTAATGCCATTTGCTTCCACTCCTTCCGCCAGACCGACGAACAAGAGGTGATCACCTTTCTGCTGACCACTGAGATCGTGCCCCTCTGCCTCAGCATAATGGACAGCGGCTCGGAGCTGAGCAAGACAGTGGCGACTTTCATCATCCAGAAGATACTGCTCGACGAGTCCGGCCTATCGTACATTTGCCAGACCTACGAACGCTTCTCGCACGTGGCCATCACTTTGGTGCGTATCACTTTTCTGACATCCCAAAAACATTATAAGACTCTCCTCCGATTTTAGGGTAAAATGGTCATCCAGTTGTCGAAGGATCCATGCGCCCGTCTGCTCAAGCATGTGGTGCGTTGCTATCTACGCCTCTCAGACAACACTCGGTACGTATTTCGAAAATCGCTTGGTTTTGAGTATACCTAACCACTTTTCCCTCAGCGCTCGCAAAGCCCTGGGCCAGTGTCTCCCCGACCAACTGCGGGATGGCACCTTCGCGCTGTGCCTGCAGGACGACAAGTCCACCAAGCAGTGGCTGCAAATGCTACTCAAAAACCTGGAGCTGGGCGTCACCCCGCAACAGATCGGAATGTCGCCGCTGGGTTCCTAAAAGGTCGATGCACACACTTCCGCGCTCTTTCAAGTATCTTAGTATCTTAGGCATCTGCGAGGCCTCGGCATCCATGCGTTTTGCAAGCCCCATCGATGAGTGAGCCCCGTCTTCTAGTTAACTGCTCGACCGAATATAAATAATAAGCTTGCACGAGATTGCCTGTGTAGCCTAAGCAGAGCTGTAATATAACTATATATACCGTAAAGTAATGTTAAAAGTAAGTTCATCACTGATAGCAAATAAAGAACCTCAAGCAGATGACGCACCTTTTCTGATTACTAGGTATTTGGGTTCTTTTAGAAGTTTTCAGCGAAGAGATGGACAATTAACCGACCCCACATAATTTATATATTGTTGGGTATGCTTCCATGGCGAATCTATCCACCTTTTTTTTTAGTTTTTAATGAAAGGAGTTGCATTGATGTTGGACGGAATAAGCGGAATCAAAATTCCTCAGGAATACAGATTTGTATACATGAATATTTTAAGATGTAAACAATATCGTTGAAAACAGAGGCTGCACCTCCTCGCTCCCTCGCACATATTGCCATTGCCGTCCTTTTCTAGGCCGTGCCGAAATGCACCGTCTACACCTCACCCCACCGAAAGCCCAATAAAAAAAACAACCGAGTGCAGTAACGGCAAAACACACATTCAAATGCATATAATATGGACACTCATATACAACTTGCGATAATTTCAATTACAACAAGTTACAATATACACACATGGAATAAACATTAACAGCCGCAGCCCAAAATTGACCCCTTGAACTGATACCTTCTTCACAGGCTCTGAAATTGTACTGTTTTAGACACATGTTTTGCAGGTTAAAGTCCTGCACATAGGTCCACTTAGCATACTTAGCTTATTCGGTGCAATAAAAGAAGGGAGAGCGTTAAACAAAAAACAGACCACATGGTGGAAAAATGATGATGGGTTTTTATGCGGATTCAAGGCCTACACGAGTGGTAGTCGACATCGTAGAACCGTATATTTAAAATGATGATTTAGATTTGTTATGCGCTCTTACAAATCTTGATTTTCCAAGTTAGATCCAAACGATCTTGTTAGATCCAATCGATCTTGTTAAATCCCCTTGCCCTAAAGAATCCACGTTCCTAATTCGTTTAAGAGTTGAATTACGTCTTTGGGCGATTAAAACTACAAACTATATTGGCGCAGTTCACATGGGTTCTTCTTGTTCTGAAGAATACCCGACTAATATTGTTTGTCAAAAGTGAGAGATGAGATAATCTATGCGGTTCGTACGGTTCTACACTACCTACTCGGCTAGGCCTTAAATGCGAATACATGCCTCCTTAATTCGGCGACTTGGCCGGTCCGGCGACAGCCGAGGCACGCCGGGTTACCTCCGGAGCCTCATTTTTGGGGTCCGGATCCCCATCCGCATCCCGATCACTCGGGCCCTGCGGGGTCTGCAGCTGCGGCAGGGCCAGCATCTGGTCCATCAGGTCGAAGCCGCTCTTCCAGATCAGCAGCTGAGCGCGCAGCTTCAACTTGCTGCGGTTGCGCAGCAGGTGCTTCTCCATTGCGAATCCCTTGCGGGCGCAGGCGAAGTCGCAGGCCCGTTGGCGGAGCACTGGGCAGATGTCGTTGTTGCCGTCGCCCACGTAGAAGACGTGGTCGTAGCGGATGCTGCGCCGCAGGTCCTGCTCGATGACAAAGTGCTCGAGGACGCGGCCTTTGCACAGATTGCTGGCGCTAAGTTTGCAGTCCGACTGCTGGTGATGGGCGCGGACGAGCAGCCGTCCGGAGGCGTCAAACTCCGCCGGATTGGTAAAGACGGCCACGAAGCAATCGGCCAGGCTGTGCGCCCGCAGCCACTCCTCGATGAAAACGCTGTTCGAGTCGCTGATAATGATCAGGTCGTAGTGCAGCCGTTTGGCCAGGTGCTTGATGAGCCGCACGAACCCGGGCACCTCGGGGATGCCGCGAATGGTGTCTCGGATGCGCGCCTCCGGCACCTGTTGCTCGTGCAGCAGGCGAAACACCTCGGCCATGTACTCCGTCCAGCAGTCGTTCTCCACGAGCTCGTTGGCACGGGCACTGGTCACCTCCGAGGGCAGAAGGTCGCGCACCACGGTGTCCGTGTTCTGGGAAACGATCGTGTGATCGAAGTCGAAGGCCGCCAAGCGACGGCGCTGCTGCTTCTTTAGTTTGCAGCTGGCCACGGCCTCGGCCACCGCGGCGGAGGACTGCTTCGAGGACATTGATGTGGGCGGAGCTCCGAGTTCAGTTCCAGTTCGAGGACATCGCGATGCTCCGGGCCTGCGTGTGACCGCAGCTCGCCCGTTCAGGTATGCCGGAATGGAACAGCGAAATAATACCAAAATAAACCATTTGACATTTTAATATACCGTTACATACTAAAATGGGGAAAGAAGGCATTCAGTTTTCACGCTAGCATACTCGCTTGTCGATCTGAGTACTAGCACTAACCATACAACATATGTTGTATGGTTAGTGGTACTAGGCTTTAATGGGATATAAATATTTTATTTAAACTGAGATTGGTATTTGTTTTTTTCGACTAATGCCCTCTTCCCATAGAGTCCATCCGTCTGAAACGGTTGGGATTTTTGACAAATGTGAAACTCCGATTCCCACAGAGCACATCCACCATCCACCATCCGATAACAGCTGATCTGAACAGCTGTGGCTCATCATTTTAGCCCGTTGCATTTTGCACAACATTTAAAATGAGCACAACAGCGTTATAATGATACTTGGTAACAGACTGCAAGTGATCTACGCGAACAATCAAAACGAACTAATACGTCTGCAGATTTTTGCCAGCCTGCAGACAAAATATGAACAGCTATTGCCCAATATTGTCTAAATGGTAACAAATCAAGTTCATTATATATAAATGTTTGTTTTTTGTTTTATTATAATTTCATATTTTATTTCATTTTAAATGTTCTGCTTAATGTTGTGAGTAAGGTATGCGCCTAGGAAAGAGTGGAGCAAGACCTAATGCTGCCACACGGATGGAGCAGTAATTAATTAATTATTACAAGTAAAAACTGCATTTTTTGAATTGGCGCCTTCCTGTTCAAAAGTTACCCGCCATTATTTTTTTTTAATTTTCGTAGTGAATGTTCCAATTTCCACTGTCAAGAAGAAGACTCAGAGTTGCACCAAAAAACCATCGCCTAACTATCGCATAAAAAAGTCCGTCAAATTTGGATGGGGAACTAACTGGGAATTTTCGGAACGGCAAAACCTTATGGACCATCCGTTCAACGGATGGTGGATGGAGCTCTGTGGGAAGAGGGCATAAAGGTATTTTTTGTCGCTATTGGCGCGGTCACACTGAAATTAAACTGAATAATTTAAATTATAAATAAAAACTGGACACGAGAGTTAATTGCATGGTGAAAGAAGCAACACAAATAATAACAAATTAAAACTCAACAAAGAAGACGCAGAAAAAATGATGGTAACAATGCGGGTAAGAGAAATTTATCCCTCTAGTTCCGTCATTCCTCAATTATTTATGAAATATGAACATTACATATTTTTTACAAACTTAGTCTGATTGCTTGCAATCACTATAACCCAAGTATCAACAGGCAATGTAAACCAAAGAACAAGGAAAATATTATTAAAGTTACTAATTGATCCCAGATTAATCATAAATACAAATCATTAGATATTAATTTACTATAATCGTTAAGGCAGTATTTTTATATAAATAAATAATAAATATAATAATATATAATAAATAAATAAATATATATTTTCCAAAATCTTTTTTTTATCTTAACCTTACCAAAGCCGATCCTAAAAAATACTTCATTTGCAGTTCGTATGTTGCCGGAGGAGCAGCATGTGCTCCAGGAAAAGGGCAGCTCCTCGTTGATCTAGGCCAGGACAACAAACATCAACGAGAGCTATACGCTGCATAAGATTCTGTCCAGCAAGATGGACTCGCTGGACTCACTGATTATGGTCGATAAAGTTCCTTATTCCACGTTCGAAATTGGTTGCGGCCTGGACAAGCAGATTGAGGGGATCAAGGAAGGCAGACCTTCGGGCACGGAAAGGCCTTACCGGCCAGGCCGTGTCCATCACACCGTATGCACCTTCATGCATGTACGGGTCGGAGCTGGTCTAAAAAATCATCGGCGATGATTTCGGCATTACCCGCAAAAATGTGCCTTGCATTATCTTCATTTACGAAATCTATACCTTGGCTTGTCGCGTGTTGATCCAGCGGTGCTTCCGACCATGGTGTAGCTGCTCAACCAACCAGATGGCTTTGAGGCCACCAATAACATCAATCAGATTGACATCCTGGGTCCCGAGTTGTTGCGAACCGGTCGCATAGATCGAACGAGGAGGCCCCTCCCGCAGGATGAACCTTTCGCGTAGCCTTCATCTCCGAAAGATCACCGAACTGATGCCAGGCGCATCGCAGGACTCGGAAAATAACATTTCTATTAAGAAGCCTTTAAAGTAGGCTTTATGCAACGCATCACAAAAAGTAAAATTCATAAACTATTAAATTTTGAGTATAAATAAATGGATTTTTATAAACGAAATCGTTGAAGTACTGCTGACAAAGTCGTAAAGCTAGCCATCTCTTTAATTTTTAAAGCAATCTATTTCCTATTCGACCAATATTTGGTAAATTTTTTATAATCGTAGTATTTTGAATAGTTTACATTCTATGATGTAGGTTTATTATGGTTCCAAGGGCAATTTAACAAAATGTTTCAAAGCGTAGATATTGATATGAAACACCGCGTGAAAATAGCAATGTTTTCAAATCCAGATTACTGATGATTTATCGGTGATTTACAATGGTTCACAACACTTTACATGGTTTCAAAGCAAAAGAGCACCTAACAACTTAAGATTTATTAGCGTTCAACGTTAGGAAGCGGATCCAGTGAGACGGTCTCTCTCAGCTTGAAGCACCTGGCAGATCTGTTCATCGTCGGCCACGTCGTAGCATGTCTGTCCATCCGAATCGCAAAGCTCCAGATTTGCCCGCAGCTCCAAAAGGCACCGCAGCGCCTCCAAGTGACCACAACTGGCGGCGTAGTGCAGGGGTGTCTGCTGGTCCGCATCCCGCTGATCGACACTGGCGCCACTCCTCACCAGAAACTGGATGATCTCAACGGCATTGCGATCGGTTGCCCAGTGGATGAGGGCCATGCCATGCTCATCCAGCTCTGCGAGGTCCCCGGGTGCCAGCAGTTCCCTTAGCCTGTCCAGATTGTTCTCCTTCACATGATCGAAGAGTGTCTTTTCACTGTCCAAACGCTGATCCTCTAATGGTGCGGATTCAATGGAGTGCACCACCCAGCCTGGATTACGCCGGGAACGCCAGTTGGGATGCAGCTCCTGGAGTTTCTGGATGTAGGCCTGCCTTGCAGCGGCGGGGGACATCTTGTCAAGATTCCGCCATGCTTGCCACTTGCTCCTAGCCTTTAGTTGGAGCAGTCCGGGACTCGGCTCTTCGCAGGGACCCTCCATGGACTGTTTATAGTATCCGTAGAAGAGCAGGAGATCCGCAGAGGCAATGTTGGCTGATTGCCTAGCCACATGCTCGGTAGCCAAATGGAAGAGCTCTTCCTCGGGATCCGTATCGCTGTCCGACATGTTGAAACGCTTCTTAAATCGACAAAAAAAACTTATAAACTAAATGACTAACGAAAAGCCTGCTCGGAATCTAGGATTTTTGTATGTTGAGGTAGTTGCCCTCCAGAACGTGCTTCTGCTCGTTCTCGATCTTCTCCAGAGCGGCCAAACTGTTGAAGCTAACGAAGCCGTAGCCCTTGGAGCAGCCCGTTCGCTTGTCAAAGATTACGTTGGCGGACACCACGCGTCCGAACTCACGGAAGTAACCACGCAACTCCTGGTGACCCACCGTCCACGGCAGATTGCCCACGAAAATGCGGTGCACTGATTTTCCCACTTTTGCTACAGCTGCGGCGGTGGCCATGGATTCGGTTTTCCTATTAATCGAGGGGCTGATCTGTTATAAATGGCTATTGCTATTTATTTGGGGCCAAGGGGATCCGGTCGACTCCTTACCAGTTGCGTTGCGTAAAAACTACGGCGCTTCTCTTTTACGTTAACTTGTTGTTATTGTCGGAGAAGCGGGGGCACATAACCTCAAACAAACATCTAACAGCACTTTGCAATACCCTACATTCGAGAGGTTATTCGGTTTTACCTCTGGTGACACCATGTTAACCACGACAAACAAAAATGAAATATTTAATAAAATATATAGGGCAAATTTACAATGAAAAATAACAGATGTCATAATATATGATGTAATGATATTAGATTTTGGTAACAGATGGTTAAAACACAAATTTGTTTAATTAAATTAAATTAAATTTTACATATCTTACATTATCATTATTTTGACTTCATAAAGGTTCATTCTGCAAACTATTTGTAACTTTTAAATACCGAAACTAAAATAAAAATGGGTTTTTAAGCAGTACAATTTGATCAAAAATGCTTGCGCCATTAATGTGCTTAGAAAGTAAGAAATAAAATATTAATATATTTTGTTTTAACATAAGTGAACACTATATGTTTTTATTAGTTTACTGGTGCTAGTTAGATCTTAATTACAATATCAACAATAAATCGACATTTCTAAAGTAAAATTTATTATATCAAAACGAAGGAACATATTTCTCATTCTTATAGGGTATTATATAGTTGTGTTTATTCCCCAAAAGCTTTTTCTTTCATATTTTGCGCGCCTAACAGCACATTTTACAGTTAATAAAACATGTTAAGCACACTGCAAACAGTCTGTTAAACCACATCTGTAAAATTGAAAAGTAGCGCCAAATTCAAACGGGAGATGAAGGAAAGAAAACTCTTTATTTGGCATGGTTTTGTTGTATTTTTTGTAATTCTTTTTCTGCTTTTGTGTTCCCTTTCTCATTTATTTCATTTACGTTTCAGTTTAACAAATTTGCTACAAACTACTTAAAATTAACAACATCGCATACACGTATTATTCTCGTTTTCCTTGCAATAAATAAACAAATAGTGATTGTTTTAAATTTACAATACGATAAAAAGAACAATTGGATAGGGGTGGGGTAAAAGGTAAGGGGCGTGTGCAAGCTTTAGTTGTTTAGTTTTGGGTGGTGTGTTTATGCTTTTGGAAATAACATTAACTATGGAAGCAGTTTTCATTAGTTACTCTCTTATAATTTCTTTGCTGCTCTCCTAAATATCCTGTGATGCCTCGGATGATGTGCCACGATTTCTCAATTCTCAGACTAACTCGGTTCTCGTATAATTAGTGATTTGGCTCTCTAAACTCCCTATATATATCTGTCCCAGTCTGCGGCTCGTCATTAATTTGATCTTAACCGATCCGATCAAAAATAATGCGATTTTTAATTCTCAATGCTGCTTGGCTCGCCATACAAAATATAACTTTTGCCTTACTTGCTTGCTTGTTGGTTGTTGTTTACTTTAATAGTAGTTCATAGTTGTTGGTTGTTGCTTAGTTGTAGATATATATATATATATAAATATATAACTCCCTCGAAAGACAAAAATCTTATACTTAGAAAAGTGTTATGTTTGGTTTGCAAGCAATGAAACTCTTGAAAGATCTTCCGTCCGTTTAGTTTTGTACAGGAAACGAGGGCAGAACATATATAAGTCTATACAAAATCGGTTACATGTAATAATTATGCATAATAATGATGTCCAGGAAAGTTTCGTAATCAACTAATTTGTATAATTATAAGTGTTTTGCTTTGTCTCGCCATTTTCATTAAAACAATTTAAGTTTTATAATCATTAATTGTAATCATGGTATAGAAAGACTCATGTTGTTGTGTCCTTAAATTTAGTTTATAATAATATGATATATAACTCGACAAATTTGTTCTTAATGTTGTTACTTCATTTTTTCTGCTTAGCTTCACTTTCATATATATATATATATATATACTGTGTTCAAGAGTTTTCATTTGATATTAAAATCAAAATATTCACGTACAAAAAACAAACAAACTTTCCAAAAAAAAAAAAAATAAAATAAAAATAGCTGTTCTACATATATGGACAAATATGTATGTATAATTAGATTATTACAAAAATGTTAATCTTAATACACAAAAGGAAAAAAACCCATCGATTTCCATATCTTCACATCTCTCCTTCATTTTCTCTTTTATCTGTGTGTTTCTTCGCACATCTGACTGAATGGTAAATATAATAATAATGAAAAAATTCGTTAATGTGTCACAGCACCACCATTTTGTTGTTAATTTCAGAAGGTATCATCCCACTTCGCTGGCTTACGTTGCTCCTCCTAATAGATAGACTACACTAGCGACAGGCGGCCCACCTGCTACCAGAGGCGGTGCAGGTGCAAGTTCCTAGACAGCACCGATCTCACGTCGTTCGTAAACCTCAGCGCATCCAGCATGGGCAGCAGCGACAGCAGCGCCGTGTCCATCGGATCGGAGAACCAACTTTTGATGGGTATGGCATTGTTGGGGAAACAGCGATAGGCACCGGGCGAATTGTCAATGATGAATATCTGAAAGAGGTATCAGTTTATTAGCCAAAAAGCACAGCATTAATTTAATGTTTGTTAACCAAACATGAAAGCACATTTAATAATTAGTATGTGATTCTCTTAGCATAATTTGTAGTATAACCTTTTCAATTAGCAAACTTGTAAAATATCGATTAGGAAAACATGAAAAGGTTTATTATAACCCAACATTCTAATAAATGTATTTCTCAGAACACACCTTAAATAAAAACATATACATTTTTTTAACAAATTCGGTCAATCAAGTATCTTATTGGATTATAATTTAAAAAAAAGAAAGGTCCATGTAAATTTCCAAATTATTATATGCAAGTAATGACTTTATTAATCGAATCCTGATAGTATATACTTCCTTTTCCCCGATCTTACCCTATTTAAATCGCTGCAAATGGCCGACAGGTCTTTGGTATAGGATCCGTAGTCGGGCGTGCAGTGTTGTCTGTAGTATCGCCTCCGAAGGATGTTTCGGCCATTGTCAAGCTTGTCCGCCACCGCCGCCCCGTATATCTCCATACTGGCCGTGAAAACTACCAGATCGTACCACTGAGAGACCTGAGGAAAATCGAGAAATATATGAGTTTTAGAGTTTTTTTGTAGTGTCAAACGAAATAAGTTCTTCTTAATTATGTTATATTTATAATCATTCTGTTAATCGGTACAAAATTAAGACACGATTCCGGAAAATTTGTAGGACGTATTTCGCTTAGTGTTGTTTTTTGGGAAATCCCTTTATATACTCACCACATCCAGGAAGTAGTCCACATGCGGTCGCTTGTGAACGAAGAAGCGCACTGGATTCCGGTCAATCGTCACTTTAACGGTGAAATCGTGCGGCGTGCCAGGCTTCACCGTATTCCGGGGCATCGCATTGTGATGGGAGTGAATCAGCGTTTCGTCCAGGTCCAGAACGAGGGTCTTTCGCTGCACCAGGCTCAGGCGGTGACGCGAGACGGGTGACAACGGGAAGAGTTCATATTTAACCGGTTGATACTGGATAAACTAAGGAAGTTAATACAATCAACGGAGAAGTACTTGACAGGCATTCAACATGGGGTTCATATAATGGGTTAGCTCGTATCTAGATTTATAAACTCTGGGGTTAGCGTGCAAGATGATGTTAAAGGTCAAGGGAATCTCAAAGCGGAAGTGCAACTGAGTTTTATGTTTGACAAATACTCATTGAAAAATTTGTATATTGAAATTGAACTTAGAGATCGTTTTCGACATAAAAGTACAAGGATTTAATCATTTTTTGGTCTCATTCAAAATTTTACCAAAATAATATTTTAAAAGTTGTGAAAACTTGAGTATTTTTAAGAATCGCATTATTGTATTAATGTGTAGTAAAATATGGCTTAGCTGTGAGTTGAATAATATTGGGCTCGTTGCTCTAGTTGTTTATAGAACTAGAAACGATGAGGAAATAAAAAGTCGCAGGTCGAAGGTCAGTGCTTCTTGCCGCGTCACGATTTCGGTCCAAAAGTGCTAGCTCAGTGGATAACATTAAAGGCGAGTGGTCGATAAGGCGGATGGGAACGGGGATACGATGAAACAAGCCCCATTAAACGTGTGCCGCAATATTGATAAAAGCTAACTTTTTAACAACTGTCACCGGTTAAGAGGTACACAGAGATAAACTTTTGTGATTTTTTTTAAATCATCATAAATGTAAAATCATCAAATTACAATTTATATTAGCAAAAAAAAAGGAAAATTTAATTGAATGGTATTTGTACCATTATCAATTCGGTTATCAAGCAATCAAACACATTTATTTTTACTGATTTTTGATTAGATAATAATTATTTCAGATAATTGAAAACATCTGGAGATAAGAATATCTAGCTGATATTACTTTGCCTCCATTAGTATAAAAATAAAAGTCTTCTGCTGTAAGGAGTATTATTTAAATAATACAATTTTATTTTTAATTGCTTGATTACTATAGCTTAATTTATTAATGTAGAGCTCAAGCAAGGTATTATCTATCATTAAATCACCTAAAAATATATCACGTTGTGCACTCTAGCGGGTGCAAACCGTAACTATTGGAAGTCTTATCACTGCGGTAGCTTTTATTATTATTATTGTGTAGTATTTTGCGCCGATTGTGGGAGCGGGTTGGAAATTATTTCAGGGTTTCGGGCAGGTAAAAATAAAAAATTCTTGATTTTCGCTAATATCTGTACTTACAGCTCGCACTTGGCGATTGAACATGAAACAGATGCATGTCCAGACTTTTGATAGCAACAACAAAAGCGCATGGAATTTCATTTGCAGCAGCGAAATCATTTGAAATAATTAGTGTTTGGTGTTTTTCGGCGATTAATTCGATAAATCGACCACGATCGGTGATTGAGCGCGGTGCGAGCGAGATGGCGCGATTTGCAACCGGCTAAAATAGATTATTTTTCTTCTTCTTCCTTGTATTCCTCCTTTTGCTGTTACTTTGCAACCAATTGTTGTTGTTTTTGATAACGCGCTGAGCACACACACACACATACGCACGCGGGCGCGCTACACTCACATAAACACCCTCCAATAAAATCGATAACAAGGCTTTTGGGTTTTTCTTAAGAAATATAATAGTTTCTCTCCAATTTTCGCGGTCTTTTTGTGCTCCACTAATTATTTGTCGATTAGTTTGGTTGCCCCTTTTTCTAGGGAAAATTTATTTCCGCTTCTCTTGTGGCCTTTTTTTTTATAGCCAGCGTCTGCTCTTCTTCTTCTTTCAGCACGCGTGTGTGTGAGCGCTGTGTTTTTTATTTCACTTTTCGGCAAGAGAACAACAATAGAACGGCACTCTATTGAAGCGATTGAAAATAGAATTTGTTTTTGTTGAGCAAAACGAATCAATTGATTGAGCTATATTGCACAGTGATCTTAAACACTTGAGACGTGCGTTTTTGCCTAAGTAGTCAGTAATTGCCGAGGACTGATCATAACTCTTTGGCGCTGCGGCGTTGCGTTTATTACATAAATATAGTTTGTCCGCGTTTCGTTTTTGTTTAATAAATTCCCACACTCATGCAAAATACAACAACACAACACAACAAAATCGATAGGCCGCAAAAGAATTTTGCATCTCCTGATATCGAATGTTTGAGTCGATACTGAAATTGCACCCTCGCGTGTTGGGTGCACACGCTAAAGGAGGAGTGTGCACTCGCTAAGTAAAACAGTTGGCAGCGCTGTCAACTAGTTCCAGCAACAGAACTATCGCACTCTTTTCGCGGTATTTCTTGGCCGCCCGCGTACTAGCCACACCATTCCACATCAGCCCCTCTCACGCACACATGCACTCACACACATGCACACACCCTCGAGCTCACACACACACATACAGGCGCAGTGGAAAAACAACAATTATTTTGCATCGCAGGCGATAAATTAAAAGTGAATTAGAACGCATAGGAACATGTCAGCGGCTGGCAGATCGGACGACGATCCCGGCCAGAATCCGGCCGTAGATCAAGAGCCGGATCCGGGCCAATCAACGCCAGCGGTGGCCGAAATCGCCGCCTCCAGTGTGAGTGCTTTATTTTTTCCTCATTTTTTTTTGCTGACGACGACGGAAGACACGTCAACTTGTGCGGTTTCGTTGTTTACCTTTCTAAGTTAACCAACTATACGATATCCAACAATAGATTCGATCCGGCCTGGCCGAGCTTGAGCTGCGATCGTCACAGGTTCTGCAGCGTTTGGAGAATGTCAAGGTGTCGTCCACGCCCGAGAATCACTCCAATTCCAATCCCGACGAGAATCCGGAAGAGCCCGTGACCGAGGATCAGCAGTATAACCACCTGCCGCCGGAGCATCGGGTGCCCTCCGATATCCTGAAGTCCCTGGAGCAACTGGTCTCCTACACGGATAGCGACGACGACCCGGAGTTCCCGCTGCCCGCCTTGGATGATGTCTCTCACTTGGCCCTTATTTCGCACAGCATTGTGGCCTATTTGTCGCACCTGGACCGCCAGCAGCTGCTCCGGGTGACGAATAGCATTTCCGGTGACGCCACCCGCTGGCTGGGCACGCTGTTCCACTTCGCCCATCCGGCGAGCAGCTTCCATGCGGACAATGCGGACGCAGTGCTGCGCACGGTCCGTCTGGCCATCGTGGCAAGGTGTCCGGGGTATTTGGAGGGCGGCATTCCCGCCCTGGCCCAGCCGACGTTCTACATCTCGGAGAATACGACACCGGTGAGGCTGCAGTACGCCTGCCGGCAGTTGGGCATCCCACTGGAGGCGATCAAGATCATACCGGAGCACAGTCAGTATGGAACGATGGATGTGACGCTGCTGCAAAAGCAAATCCAGCTGGATGTGGGCAATAACAGGACGCCCCTGCTGGTGGTCGCCGACATTGGTGCCTCCCTGTGCGGCTATGTGGATAACCTGCTCCGGCTGAGGGACGTTTGTAAAGCGCACAACATGTGGCTGCATGCCAGTGGCCACGGACTGGCCGCCTTGGTCTGCGCCCAGAATCAGGGCCACGTGGAGGAGGTGCTCCACTCGATGGCCCTGAATCTTGGCAGCTGGCTGGGCGTACCCAGTCTGCCGATCGTCCTGCTGCACCGTCCGCTCCAGAACAGCGCGCTGAGTGCCTTCGAATCCGATCCCATACTATCGCGTCGCCTCAACGCCTTGTCGTTGTGGACCAGTCTGCAGGCCTTGGGTCGCAAGTCGATTGCAGAGCGCTTGCACGTAGCCTTCCAAACGTGCAGTATTCTTTTCGAAATTGCCTCCAAGTGCGAGGGCATCCGGGTGTTGGTGAGTCCCACCGTTTTTTTTTGGGGGAATATAAGTAGCTTACTAATGTTTTTTGCTATATTTTTCAGAGCCATACGCCTGGAGCCCAGACCGGAGCCTCCTTGTCAGACATCATCCAAAGCCCCTTCGATGTCCAGGCGCTTTTTGACGCCGCCGCCCCTGTGGTCGCCTATCAGTTCGATGGCAGCACCGCCATTCCACTGGGGGGCAGTGGCTCCTCTGCCGCAGCTTCCGCCGCCGAGCGAGAAACGGCTGATGGCCTCAAGCCGCTGGAGAAGATCAACAATGCTTCGTACTTTGACCGCCTCAACTCTTGGCTGGGTCAGATCCTGCAGCGCGACTGTCCCAATGTAATGAAAATAAAATCAATTATATGTTATCCATCTAATCCAACGCCATCTTCTTTCAGTTCGACTTCGAGGTGATTGAACATCCGACACACGGCAGCTGCATCCGCTACTGTCCGCTGGAATTGGGCTTGGGTGAGCAGCCGCCGAGCTCCGAAAACCTGGAGAGCTTTGCCCAGAGCTTGGAGGCGCATGTGGACATCCTACGGGCGACTATCAAGCACAAGGCTCGCTTTATCCATCTGGTGGAGCGCAGCGAGGTGCTGCGCCTTGTTCCTTTGCCCGAATGGGCTGGCATGGGCGGCGTACGTTTTGTGCCCGAGGGCTGGGAGTCCCTGCTAACGGACCAGGCCAAAACCGAGCTGAACAAGCTCAACATCGATCTGGTGGAGGCATTAAAGTCCACGGACAATGCTTTTTCCCTGGGCGAGGGCACAGATGGCCTGATTTGTGTACGTTTCGGGATGGTCACCCACGAAACGGAGGTTGAGGAGCTGCTGGATCTGGTGGTCACGGTGGGCAAGAGCGTGCAGGAAAACTCGCGGGTATTGGACACCATGTCGGAGATTGTCAAGAAGGTTTGCTAGTTTATTGTGTGGTGTTTACGTACCATTAAGTAATTTCATATTAACTTTAGGGAATCGAAGCGGTTACCGCGGATCTGCAGCGTGAGTCGGAGGAGAAGCTCTGGCAGGAAGGCATCCTGCGGCACGTGCCCGTGGTTGGTCGTGTCTTCAACTGGTGGTCACCGCCGGCCAAGGAGTCGGGAATCAAGGGCCGCAGCCTTAATCTCACCCAGGGCGTGGTCGAGAGCACCGAGAATATTTACAAGTGGGTATCAAGGGGATATCCAACCACTTACTGATCAAAAAAATAATAATTCGTTTTACAAAGGTACCACATGCAGATGACTGGAGCCACTGCCCATCAGTTGCCAGCGAATCGTTCGCCACCCACGCCCATGGTGCAGACGCCCGTGGGCGCCGGTTCGTCGACGCCCGTCTTTCCCACGGTGGAGCCCGTACCCGGAACCGTATCAGCATCCGGCTCGGTTGAAGCCACGCCCGTGCAGCCGGCGGATGCTTCGGGATCAGGAGCTCCTGCTGCTGCGACAACGGCATCTCCGCCCACACAAAACCATGTGGAGCATGCCCGCACTGTCAGCCAAAGCAGTGCCGGCTCCTCCAATGTTCCCGAACTCGTGGCCGCCAACAGTGCAATTAACAATAATTAACAAAAGTATAATTATCAAAAATACCTATAGATGAACAGAAAAAATAACTTTTAGATCAAGGCAGAGCCAGCAAAATGGATTTCAAAGTGGGAGGGGCCTTAAAGCAGCAATATCAAACAAGGCTTAATAAAAAGACGTAGACAGAAACCAGAAAACTGAACAGCATACCATATATATAGAAGGCTTATTTTAACCTCCCCCTACTTAAAAAAAAAACAAAAACAAAACAATTCCAAAGATGATTGTTCGCCCAAAATGATGATGACACAAAATCCAATTTAATTGCTTTTATGTATTTATATATATTGCTATTCCTATGATCTTTTATATATCTCTATTATATATTATATTATTTTACCTTATTATACTTTAATCCCATCATTGTTGTTGTTGTCGTCTCTGCTCCGAAAGAAAATGCTCGGAATCTTGTCCCCTTTTCAATTATATTTTTTGTAAAATTGTACTTTTGTTTATCTTTATTTATAATTATTATTCAGATGCAAGTACCTTTGAGAGAGATAATATAGGCAATTGTTCAATGTTCAATTGTGCGAAGCAATAAATTGCGCTATGCTTATTTGTTAAGAAGCTAAGTGACAAAAACTAAATAAATTAAAAAGGAAAAAATAATTAATTAAATGACAAAAATATATTTATTATACAAATTGCTGCTATAAGAAGAAAGCAAGATCTGCACAAAATATGATAAAAGAAAAAACTAAACACAATAAAATGTGAAATAATTTAGACAGAGACAGCATGTGTTTTGTATACCCTTTCGCTTTTGCGTGATTATATCTTATCTTATCCCAGTGGGTTTTTCTAGGAATGATACCCGCATTGGCTCTGTATGAAATATTGCTAATTTGAATGGAGTTTTATAATCAGCGAGCACAAAACTTGATAGAATGGACTGGCTCCTTTTTCCCTTCAGGGTAAGGTGCGGCTCCCTAAGGCCATTGTCCTCCCAATATTAAAGTGGCGAACCTGCTGGGACACTGCCTGTGTTTCATCACTGTACAGGTGGTAGCATGGTGGTAGCATTATGTGAAAAATCGGGTTTTATTCCAGGATACGGATGTGCCGACGGTTGATACAATGAACCTTAACTTGCTAGACATCTTGCCAAATCACTGGGTCGACGGCGGCCCCGCAGAAGGACGTTTCCTATAACCACACCATCTGATTAATAACATATGACCGGCTTTGACCACACCTGCTCCAAGAATGGAGCACTCACTACCCTTTTTTGGGATATTGAGAATACATTTTGAAACACACGAAAACAAAGTCCATCCTTGTGTGGCGTGTTCTACAAATAACAAAAAAAATGATTTTATGGATCCTCTGCAATTAAATCGATATTGACTAATATTTTAAAGTAAGTATAGGTATAAAATAAGAACCAAAAAATTACATTACGCTAAGCAATAAAAATAATCATAAGGCTATGGTATTCGGGGATACACGAATGAGCAAATGTAAGAATATAATTCAGGATCTTGTCTGGGAGTTTTCAGTCTGCAAGTAACGGGAATTTGTAAATAAAGGATTTATTTATCCTTGCTCTCATCTCATAATATTTGTTTCGTTAAGCCCCCCAATATAGTGGTATGATGATATGATCCTTACCGAAACCTACTTTCATTAATTATCATTTTATTGGAACCCATTAAAAAACAAATTTTCTCCATCTAACTAATGCAATTAAATTTTATATTTTTATTTTATTTAATATTTGTGTTGAATTTTTTTTAGCGTTTTACTTTGCGGCTGTTTGCTTTTGAAAGAAAATTTCTCTTCATTTCGAGGAAATCTTAGTTTTTCATTTCCCGATTTATTTCGATTTTGCGCATAAAATATTTTTTGATTCCAGAAGCTTGGTTTTCCCCGCTTTTCAGAACAATTCCGAAAATTTTCCGGGCGAAAGTGGTTTCTGGAACTCACTTATTTAGTAGATTTTTTTATTTCGTACTTCTTAAAAGATTTTTAAATTACTTTTTGTCTCTCATTTTTATTTTTACTCGTTTATTAATATGCCACTAAGCGCTTCGATTTATGCCTCTGTTCTTTACATTTTCTTTAACTATGCATACTATATATTTATTTATATATATATATATATATATAGATATATATATATATATGTTGTACAACTCGATCTTATCTTGTCTTATTGCTGCTGCCGATGGGCTTTCGAAATAAACTTGCGAATTTCGATTTGGATCTCTTTTGCCAATTTGCCCAGGTTTTGTGTATTTTGAGTACGGCTTCTTTTGGGTTTTTATTTTTTTTAGGGATTTTCTTTTGTAATAACTACAACGCGTACGATGACAACATTTAACACAGAAATATATTTACGAACTAATTGTGTTATATTTATATGTACGTGTAAATTGAGCTTCGATCTAGGCTCGAAACTTCCATGACCAAAACGCTGCTTCCCAAGGGGCTTTTTCGGTGTCATCCAATGCTTAATTTGGTACTGTTTATGGGGATTACGGGGATCCTTAAAGGATTCGATTCAGTTTTGCTGTAATATTTTTGATGACCCCCTGAGAAGGTTTGTATGTTTTTTTTTATAACTTGTAATTGTATAATAAGCGAATAAAAAACTTGATTAGTTTGTTCCGTTTTTCTTTACACCATCTTTACATATTTACTTTAAAAATGTCGCTTGTGTTTTACGATTGAGTTAATTTCGATTTGAGTACCCGATTGTTAATATCTTACAATTGATCTTTCAATGAGAGTACGCTCTAGTTAGGGTTCGTTAAGTGTATATATTATGGCTAGATCGGTAAATGTTGAGAACTTTCGCTGTGTGGGCAGTGTTTGGGGTTCGACTTAGTTGATTGGCCTCGTCCATTTGAAGTTGGCCTCCGGGAATCCCTCTAAAAATGCTTCGATTATTCTTGCTGTGTGTTGCTGGTATATAGTTGTCGATAGGCTTAAGTATCTTGTCTATAACTATTTTGTTTTATAATATCTATTTGTGTATATATCGCTTGTGTATATATCTATATAACTTTGTAGTTCGGTTCCATTTTGTCGGTTTTTTTTTTTTTTTTTGGGGGGCAGTACTTTTTTTTAGTTTCATATTGCTATCGGTTCCATGCCAAGTCGAATCTTAAGATGGTTGCAAACAGGTGCACCGCCTGCAACCAACTTTAATCTCTCATCTATTTGGTTATTGTTTACGCTATTTGCCTTTCGTTTAGCTACTAAATATACAGTTAGCCCACTAAATATCTACATATATCTTTGTTTATGTTTAGTTTTAATAAATGCATTCCATGTTAAGCTTAGGTTAGATACACAATAAAATCGCAGGCTCAAATCCGCGATCGATTTAGCCCGCCAGTCCCGGACGATCCTGTGTGTGGAATCGTCCGCAGCACAACCCAGACCCAGGAAAGAGTCGAGCACTAAACGGGGTATCCCTCTGAATGGCTGGGGCTCGGAGATTGGAGATGAGAGATTGAAGATTGGAGATTCGGGGTCTTAACAATAGCAGTTCATGTTTTGGAGTGTTTAAATAATTGTCCATTAACTAATGTAAGTTTGGCATACTCGAGGTCATTTCGGTTCAATATTCTTATAACATAAAATAAGGAATCCTTTAAAAACATTGGGGTTTCCTCACCATTATTCTTCATTTTTAGCAACATTTATTTTAGGAGTAGGTATAAATGCAATCAGTCAGGAACTTAAGCCATAAAAAGTTTGTTATTAAATGTCGAATATTACAAATCAAAATCGTGAAATTCGCATTAAGTTGAAAATGATAAATAAAGTACTTTCAATATTTGAATGCCTTCTGAGCGATCGCAATAATATTGGAATGACTAGAGTTTAGAATATCACATATGTATATAAATTGTAGGAGAATTTGTTAGCTCATTAGATTAAATAAACTTAAAAAATAAAAGAAGTGTAATGATTTCCCGGATTAAATAAATAGTTCAGGGGTGCCACAACAATTTATGGAGATTTGAAAATCGATTGAAAATATATATCAAGGGAGAAAGCCGGTTCTCAAAATGAATAAGAAATCTGTGGCTCTAAACTTGATTTTGGATTGGTAATAAATTTTCATCCCTGATTATAACTAAAAATATCTCAAAATTTCCGAAACCTAAATAAAAACCTGCCACGCCCCTTTGCCCATCCATTCAGATACCCGTTCTCTACTTAAAAATTGACTCCCGACAAGTGCCTAAAAAAACTTTGCTAACGTTTCTACTACAGTTCGATTCTAGAACTTATGACCTACGATCCGAATTCGATTTTCATTATTTGGTGGTTGGTTTTTAGGTTCGAGTGTCGGTCTTTCGATTCCAGTATGGTTTTGGTTGTAGAGGATATACAATTTATATATTTTTGTAGATTAATGTTGTATAATACAATAAGTTAGCCCCCATAAAATTGTTTCTTTTTGACAATTTAGCGCTTTAAAATTGGTAAAAATATGCTATTATCAAAAGGGAATAACCGTGTCCTAAATGGATATATATTTATATAAGTAATAGATCGCTGATATATGTTACATATGTTCGTCTGTCTGTCTGTGCGTGTCTAGTATCTGTGTGTTTATATCCATTTCTTTGGAATGTTCAGATATAGTTCTGTGTATAGTATGTACAAAAGTCGAAAAGCAGGATTCCGGTCTAGGATACGATTTCGATACGATACGTTAAATGCAACAAATCAAGAAGGAACACTCGCCGCTCCAGCAATCCTTAGTCCCATTCCTTTGTCCCTCGATATATGTATATCTATCCTACACGAATTCTAGGAAGACTCCCCCAATCCCAAGTCCTGACCAATTCCTGTCTATACTTCTTTGCCTGACTTTTCTGGTTTTTTCTGGCTCTAGCTCTCCATCTTACAGCTCTGTCACCGCGTAGTTGCTTTCGTCGGTTATCGCTGGCGGTGGCGGCGGCAGGTCATCATCATCGTCCACCGTTCCTCCGCCCCCACCGGGCACGCCCCCACCGCCGCCGCCGTTGTGGAGGACCTTGCCATTAGCCGCCGGTCCGATACGGCCCTTGGTCGCCTCGGTTTGCGCCTCCAGCGGCGGTGGCGGCAGCGAGTTGTCCTCGTTGGCGTTTCCCCCGGCCAATCCTCCTGCGCCTCCCCCATTCTGGAGGCCAGATGGTACTCCTCCGTTGGTCTCGCCCAGCGGCTGACCGGCGGGTGGTGGCGGCGAGGTGGGCGTTCCAATGCGCGGCGGCGGGATCGCCTTCATCTGCGGCGGCAATTTCATCGGAGGACGCTGCAGGGTCCTGAACGGTATAGACAAAATTGAATTAAAACTGCTTAATACAACAATATTAAGTTTTACAATTTTTTTCAAATTTTTGTACTTTAAAATAAAAATTATAACATGAAGTATTGGACTCATATAAGACTTTCAAACTTTTTATAAAATCAAAATAGTTTTTAGCCTTTCTGATTTACTTTTATAATTTTAGAACCAAATAGCAAAAATAAATAACAAATTATTATTACGTTTTCAGTAAAACAAAATAAACACCATCTAATGTAGTTTAACCCGTATTTGCACTAAAATATAAATAATTTCGTAACCAAGTAGGTAATGTAAAACAGAATACCAACATTTACAAAATTATGTGTTGTAAATTTATTATTATTGCAACTATTGTCGCCTGGTGATAGTTTAAAAGGTCAAAATAAAACTGTTTTTTAACAAAAAAAAAAGATAAGTTACATATGTAAGTGCATTTACTAATTGCATTTACAAATTATTGAATTTACAGGGTGACACGAAATCTCTAATCATAAAAGTATGCTAATAAAAAAAGATTCGAATTACAGCAAGTCGTACTAATCTTTTTAAACACAATAAACTTTCTGAATTATTTACATATTTTACAAACCTAAAGTGGATAAACAAATTTAATTAAAATGATTAATTTAAAGTAAAACGAAATAATAAAAACTATATACTCAGTTTATTTTTTGAAGTGGTTATATGTAAAGTAATTCAGTAATTCAGCAATTTAATTTCAGGAATCATGGTGTCTAAATTGCACAATTTTAAGAGCAGTTATTTCAGAATTTGCAAGTTTTGTTATTTGCGATTAAATGAATACACCGAAACACCTACTTTGAGTAGTTTTGGTGGTGGGCCTGCTGGCGCTGCTCATAGATGGACTCCACCTTGGGCTGCTCCGCATCCTTGGGGATCTCCGGCAGCGGGCAATTGAGTATCGATGGCTTGTACTTGGGATCGAACTTGCCGCCCTGCCTTAAAGTGGAGCACTTGTAAATCTGCTTATCCCGATCGTAAATGGCGCTATCCATGGCCGTGCTAATGGGAATGACATCCGACTCGTTTTGCTGTTGCTGCTGGTGATGCTGCTGCTGTTGCTGTTGCTGCTGGTGGTGTTGCTGCTGCTGGTGCTGCTGCTGCAATTGCTGCTGATGTTGCTGCGGTGACTTGAGCTGGTGCAACTGTTGCTGTTGCTGCGAAGGCGGCGGTGGCTGCTGCTGCTGATGCAAGCTGGGTGGATGCTGATGGGCCGGTATCTGTGGTCCGCCTTGGCTATTCTGCCGCCGCATCGTGGCCAAATTCGATACGTATATGGAGCCCTGGCTGACGGCAACTAGCGGCTGGTATATGGAATGCGGATTCCCATTGGCCGCCAGTTGCGGCGCCAAGTGGGCCGGAATCTGTTGGTAGATCTGGCTCTGGCCCGGCCCCAAATGATGCGGTCCGTGGTGGGCCGCTGTCGTATAGGTGCCATATTGCTGGGCCTGCTGCTGATGGTAGATCGCGTGCTGGTGCTGCACTGCAGCGGCCACGGCGGCGGCTGAATGCGAATGCGGATGCTGGTGCGGGTGGGGATGCGGATGCTGGTGCGGATGATGGCAATATATGGGCTGTGGTCCTCCCAATTGCTGCTGTGCCTGCTGCTGCTGTTGTGCCTGCTGTTGCTGCTGCTGTTGCTGTTGTTGGGCGGCCTGCGTGGTCGGCGGCAAATTGGCGGCGGCGTTTGCTGCTGCTGCGACTGCTACTGCTGCGGGGGGTGGCGACGGTTTTCAGTAAAAGTCATTCGCTTCCAATGTCTTGCATTGTTTGCTTAGGGTTGCATATTTACCATTATTGGGACCTACAAAAATGCACACACCAAACGATTAGCAATAGGCGCGGGTTGGGCGGAGGATGTGGAGTTGGATGCGGATGCAGGATGCAGGTTGTCGACGCAACGATGGTGTGGTTATGGTGTGGATCGTTGGATGGGCGCGGACATTTAGCATGGAATGAGATTATATAGAAGAAACGAACATGATGAGACCGAATTGAGCGCTTTGGTTTAAGTTGACATGCAACATTTAAAAATACAAATTTCTGAACCAGTTACAAATCGGGTTATCGGTTAAGATGATATGCAATTTTTTAAGTCAGTTGTGAATCGGTTATAATGCGTTAGTACTGGTCATTTTTGGACAGATTCATGATGAACGAAGAATCGACTGATAAAACTATACATTTTTAGATTTTTTTAAAAAGCAAGAACCGAATTTTAACCGGCAAATTGATAAATTTTAATGTTTTACACAAGTACACATGATTATTTATATGTCCTATTAAAATTTCCAGCTCAATTTGGTCTCCGGGTTTTATACACATATGGACACAAAGATTGATATAGATATGTACACACACACTGAGAGAAAAAGCGCCTTTAGTGTAATTCAAATTTTTGTAAATCAGAATTTAAATGAGAAATATAATATTTGGAGTAGAAAAGGTTATTTTGGCCAATCGTTACAATATACAAATTTTTAGTTAATAAAAAAGTGAAAAGAAGTCTGAATTCGAATGTCACCGTTGCCCAAGGAACCTAATATTTGTTCAGCTTTTATATTTAAAAATACAATTTTAATGTTTAAAAATCCTTATTCGAATTTTGTATATATTAAATTAGGGTCTAGAACAAATTATCGAATTGATCATGCCATATCCTTTTTTTTTTTACTTTTGGACTACTATCAACTGGTTTTTCTTCCCTTTGATGACACTTTTTTTTTATTACAGCGCTTTTTGTCTCAGTGCAAAGTCAGATAGAGAAATGGGTGTCTGTTTCGATTTTCGGGAGTGGGTGGTGCGGGCTCCCCACTTACCGGTCATGTGGGTGGGGCTGTGGTTGTGCGACGGCAGCCGGCCAAGCGTGTGGGTGCCCATGGCGCGCATGTTCTGCTGGATATGGGCGTGGGCCATCATCTCGTGCTGCTGCCGCTTGCTGGGATGCTGGAGCGTGTGGGAGCCACTGATCACCGGCGGACTGAAGTGCCTGGAATGGCAGATATGGCGCAAGAACAGAGCAAAGGGGACGAGAGAGAACAGAGAGAGAGAGTTCGAGAGAATGGAGGCGGGAATCGGGCGGGACGGGTCACGTTGGGATCTTCTAAAACATACCCATTATGGTTTCGCGGCAATGTCCTGGCGGCGTTCATCATCTGCTGGTGGTTCTGCGGTGCCGGGTGGGAAATATACGATGGTTCATCAACCTGGGCATAGTCATTCCGCTTCCGTATGTAAATCCATGTGTGCGAATCCACCCAAACCATTATGGTTAGCAAAATGGCCGCAATAAAGCTGGCTATCAGCATTAGGACCAATCCCAGCAGGCCTCCCTCGCAAAGTCCACGAGCGGCGGCTAGAAAATTATGATGCACTGCCTTGCAATCCACGAGCGCCGTCAATTGGGTCAATAGCCGTTCACTGCTGTTCAGATCCGCATTCACAGCACCCAATTTCGGCTGCAAGCCGGAGGATTTAAAGAGCACCAGCGATATCTTCATTACCGTAGCCATGGCGCTGCGGGCATTGTTTAAAGAGTTTTGCGATTCTCTCAAGCGCTGGGTAAACGGATTCGTGTGGCCCGGTTCACATTGGGTGTAGTGCAGCAGCACGTTCGTGGGCAGATCCCTGGGAGCCGTGGACACTAGAAAATCCGCTGGCGAGATGCACAGATCGCCGACAGCCACCGAGGAGGAAAGATACAGACCGGACATCAGCCAGGAACCAGTGACTGCAAGTAGGCCGCAGACGCTGAACAAGATTAGGGCGCAACGTGAGTGCCGGGCCACGCCCACCAACAACACGGCGCACAGGACTAGAAGCAGGGCCAAAGTGGCCACTGTGCCCGGCCAGCGAATCAGCTCCCATTGGTCGCCGCGCTAAAGTTAACAGGATAGAAATGGTATCAATGTAGTAAGCCATCATTTAGCTACGCATAATTGACATACCGTCAAAAAGTGCGTCATGGAGATGCCCATCAGTGGTCGTCGGATATCGCTGGCCGCGTTTGTGGCCAAGGTAACATTTCCCTGGACAATATTAAGCGATACAAAGAGCTTCGACAATGCCGATTGATTCGACACAGGCTGATCAAAGATGTCCGCCAATTCCACCAGTTGCGGGCGTATGCGATTCGTTAGCGTGTTCTCCAGGATGTGGGTCTGATTCCGGATGGTGGTCACGAGGTTGTCCACCTTTCTGCCTGCCGTCAGCACCTCCAGCAGTCCGTTGTGCAGATCATCGTTGCCGTACAAGCCCAATCCAATCGCCGCGCAGCACATGACCGTAACAATGGACAGGGCCACCTTCAAACTGGTGATCGAGTGGGCTGGCCGGGGTTTCCGGTCGCAGCAGCGGGTCATCAGATAGAAGAGCAGTCCCAGCAGCGAGACGATCAGCATGGCAGCCGGAACCGAGCCCAAAATGCCCAGACTCTATAGGTGGAGGCAAGAGAAAAGGGTAAAATTGTAGAGAAAATTTCAAAATCTCATACAAATTCACTTTCCAGTAATAAAAATAATAATATTGCGATTTATGTTTAAAGCTACAAGTGTTTTTTCTTTGTTTAAAAATATTATTAACGGATTAAACCCGATTTGAACACCAGATCTTTACTTATTAGAACACAAAATATAAGCAAAATGAAGGTACACATAATAGGAAACATATTTTTCCTGTTAGTTTAAGTCATAGTGCCTGGATAGGGCTTACTTACCTCCAAGTAGATCTCATCGTTAGGCCGGAACGTGCTGTTGATCTTGTGGAACGTGATGTTGTAATGGGGCAGGGCGTGGAGTAGCTTTGCTATCACCGGCACCTTGTATTGGTCCGTGAACTCGTGATAGTCGCCCATCCTGGCCTGCTTTCTTCTGCTTTTCCCTCCCTGAAATGTATGCCTGCTCTTCCTGTCCTTTGTTGCTACTGGCGGTTTTCCTTTCCCTCGTTACTGCTGGGTTTTCCTGCTACGTGCTCACGGGCCTGAGTTTCCTAACCTCTTGACACCGAATCCAAATTGCCGAGCACTGAAGAAAGGGTGAAGAAAATGGGGGAGCAAAGGATATTAAATAACCAGAAGTGTACATTTCTTAATTAATTTAGATTTTCTTAGGCACAGCAAACTCGTTTATTGTTTTATACAACAAGGGTCATTTGAAAATACTAAATTAAAATTTCTAATATTACAGCATATACAGTTGAAATCACTATCTAACTGTCTCGCAAGCTAAAAAAAATATTATTCAGAATTTCCTCCAGTAGTAAAGAACTGAATTTTGAATAAATTCTGTAATCCGAAGTTCTCTTGTGACAGATAAAGGTCTTGGCCTAAAACTTCATTGCTCTGAATCTGCTGAGATAATATTAGTAAACAAATTATTTTCATAGAAATAAATAAATATTGTTTTTTAACTTAAAAAAAATTGTAAGTACTAAATGCTCGGGATAAAAATGCTTTAGATAAGTTTACGAGCCTATAAACTTATTAATCCAAATTTTTAATCGGGTCTAATGGAAATAATTTTTAATTTGTATCTGCATTACGAGAGTATTTCGTCACTACGAGGACTGCCATCCGCTACGATAAATACTGTAAGCAAAGTTTAGGGATAAAGTTTCCAAACAAGATTTGTATTCTATTTAAAGATAAAAACCTTTTAAACGTTTTTTTTAACCCTAAATTTAGAAGTCATTTTTTGTCAATAGATGCATGTATAAAGTGGTTTTAAGTTAACATTTTTAAACGATAACAGTTTTATCACTTTTTGGGTATTGTGAACTTAAAAATCCAAAAGTGCGACTACCTTTTCCACCCCTGAATTCATTTACTACGTGATAATTTATGGACCTGCTGAAATATGCAAAAAGAAACTGTCTTCTTCTTCCTGCTCTATAGGGATAAGGATCCTGCGACAGCGATTTTAACCCCACTTTCTGGCACACTCAATATAACGGCTCCTGCATGTACACACACATACACACACGCATACATATGTGGGCGTGCATGCGTGGGCATGGCCTTAATTGCTCAATAAGTAGGTTGCCCCCACTTTTGCAAGCACTTTTTAATTAAACAACATTTACGGACGGCCGGTTCATGTACTTGCATTTTGTCAACCGATTTCCATTAACCAAATGCGGCTGCGGGACCTTTTATTTAATTAATTCTACTTGATTTTGATTGAGAACGAACGATGCTGTCCAGCGCAATAGCAATTTTGTTCACTTGTCTTCCTCTTCCTGCTTCGTTTCGTTTCGTCCAGTAGAACAACAACAACTCTCGCGAGTGCGAGTAACGGTAACGCGGCTGCGCGTGCGTTTGTATATCTATTGATTAAAAGTTCGCTCTGCTTTTGCTTCCTCTTCCTTGTTCCTTATTCCTTTTTGGCAGTACTCTCGTAATTGCTGCGCCCACTTTCCGCTGCCCCGCCCCCTTCTCATCATATTACCCCCAACCACCCACACAAGCACTGCAAAGTGCGTTTGCTTTACAACTACAAATGCAACAATAACACACACACACAGAATAACGGCATTAATTAAATTCGCAAACTAGTCAAGTCTTTAATTTAGGTACGAAAGCCAAATAAAAACACTCCCTTTTTTTGGAGGTACACAATTTTCCACAACAAACAAAGGCCCGAAAGGAAGTACATCGGGGAAATTACGAAATTATTACTTTTTGCTGCACTTTATTCAGTTGACAGACGTTGGACGATTTGCATTAACTCGATATTTTCTATTTTCCGGCACACGCGTGTTCCTGTTTATTGCAATAAGCTTGTAATGTTTTTTAGTTCGGCTTGATTAGACTTTTTGTTTTTGCAATTTCGGAGAAAAGGCAACATAACACACGAGCAAGGACCTTCACATTCCAAAGACTGGGCAAAGTATGAAAATTTCGCGTCGTTCAATTTGGTCACACCCTCTGGATTATGCACACGATGTTGCTGTTTTTTTCGCAGGACGAAGAGGACCCTCCGATAAACCCGAACCCCTAGCAGTGTGACCGCCTTCAGCGAGTAAACATAAACCAAAGGATTCACATAATTGGGAACTAACCGTAGGTCGGCAATATAATTTAAATATTATAAGAAATTTAACGGTAAGAGGATTAAATATGTTTGCAAATATTAGGCCGAAGGACTTCAGTTTCCAGTGCCATTTTCTTTTCCATTAATTTTAGTTTTAATTTGAGACAATAAAAAATAAAATAAATAATGTTTGCTAATAAGTACAAATAAAGTATAAAAGTAAATTTTAACCTGTTTTTAAACATATTATATGTAAGCTATATTTCAAACATTGAACCGAAACCACAAGCTAAATTGGCTTATCCAATTTAAATGTTCCATAAGAAGTAGATTTTTAATATACAATTGAGTTTGATAATGTACCCATTTAAAAATGTTAGTCGAAACGAATGGAGTAATCTTTTCATTTAAAGTATTTAGTGAAGTCAATCTTCTGTCTGTATTTAGTTAAAAATTGCCTAAATAAAACAAATTAAAAGTGCAAAGGTGTCGGTTAATTTTAAATTTGATTTTCATTTTCAACAAATATTTAAAAATATTCTTAAATTAATAATCCATAAAAGGTCATACTAAATTTGCACCCTGATTTTGTACAGTGGTGAATAAATGGTTAGCAGTCGCGCAAAATTGGCATTTAAAAGAGAAAATGGATAGTTGACAATAAAGACGTTTAAGGCAACAATAATGTTAATTTTTTAAATATTTTGGTTTACGAAAAATTCAAATTTATCTGAAAAATCTGTTTAAATGAAATTCGACAAGCCCTACAGTAAGTGTCGGGAATGTACTTTCCGTGATTTCCAGCACTACAGTGTTGGATAATGCACAGCACTTAACGGCTGAGTGTTTAGTGTGACCAGATCATCGAACTGCCTACAAAGAGGCGGCCAGAGACACACCGTTTGCATGGGCGAACGGCGGACGGTCACCAGCTACTCTTCTTTTTTTTTAGTGCAAAAAAAAACAAAATAAAGAAGAAGAAACGGAAAACAGGGCCAGCAGCTTGAGCCCAAATATATAACAAATATAACATTTTATGTGGTCAAAATGAGCGTGCTGCCGTTCGTGCGCGGTGTGGACTTTACGAAAAATGATTTCAGCGTGAGTACAACACACAAACCAGCCCGCACTGTTTTTGTTTTTCGGGGGGTTCGGTTCTAAAAAAAAAAAGAAGCAAAGAAACAGGTCACCGAAAAGCACACACACGAAAAACCTGGGCATTAGTCATAAGTCGGAGCACAGATAATCCTCAAGGTATGATCGCTTATATTGCAGGCAACATTCCCCAGCTCCATGCGGCAGATGTCGCGGGTGCAGTGGCTCACACTGGATCGCACGCAGCTGGCGGAGATTCCCGAGGAGCTGGGACATCTACAAAAGCTGGAACACCTGTCGCTGAACCACAATCGCCTGGAGAAGATCTTCGGCGAGTTGACGGAGCTGACCTGCCTGCGTTCCCTCGACTTGCGGCACAACCAGCTGAAAAACAGCGGTATACCGCCGGAGCTGTTTCATCTGGAGGAGCTGACCACCCTGGACCTGTCGCACAACAAACTGAAGGAGGTTCCGGAGGGCTTGGAGAGGGCAAAGAACCTGATTGTGCTCAACTTGAGCAACAATCAGATCGAGAGCATACCCACGCCACTGTTCATCCACCTTACGGATCTGCTGTTTCTGGATTTGTCGTACAATCGACTGGAGACATTGCCGCCGCAGACCCGGCGTCTGATCAATCTGAAGACCCTCGACCTATCGCACAATCCGCTTGAGCTGTTTCAACTGCGCCAGCTGCCCTCACTGCAAAGTTTAGAGGTCCTCAAGATGAGCGGCACCCAGCGCACACTCCTCAACTTCCCCACCAGCCTGGACAGTCTGGCCAATCTCTGCGAGCTGGACCTGTCGCACAATTCGCTTCCCAAGCTACCCGACTGCGTATACAATGTGGTTTCCCTGGTCCGGCTGAATCTGAGCGACAACGAGCTCAGCGAACTAAGTGCTGGCGTGGAGCTGTGGCAGCGTTTAGAGTCGCTGAATCTTTCGCGGAATCAACTGGTGGCTTTGCCCGCTGCTCTCTGCAAACTGCCCAAGCTGAGACGATTGCTGGTAAACGACAATAAGCTGAATTTCGAGGGCATACCCTCGGGCATTGGCAAACTGGGTGCTCTAGAGGTTTTTTCGGCGGCCAATAACCTGCTGGAAATGGTGCCCGAGGGACTCTGCCGATGCGGTGCTCTAAAGCAGCTTAATCTGAGCTGCAATCGGTTGATCACCCTGCCCGATGCCATTCACCTGCTCGAGGGTCTGGATCAGTTGGACTTGCGCAACAATCCGGAGCTAGTGATGCCACCCAAGCCAAGCGAAGCGAGTAAAGCCACCAGTCTGGAGTTCTACAACATAGATTTTAGTCTGCAAACCCAGCTGAGGTTAGCTGGGGCTGCTGTGCCACCTTCAATGCCAGCGTCAGCCACGCCAAAGGATTCGACGGCAAGGAAAATCCGCTTAAGACGCGGACCCCGCAGCGAGGGCGATCAGGACGCTGCCAAGGTGCTCAAGGGCATGAAGGATGTGGCCAAGGATAAGGATAACGAGGTCGGTGCCCTGCCCGAGGACGGAAAACCGGAGTCCCTGAAACCAAAGAGGTGGGACGAGTCGCTGGAGAAGCCGCAACTGGACTACTCCAAGTTCTTCGAGAAGGAGGATGGTCAGCTGCCGGGATTGACCATCTGGGAGATCGAAAATTTCCTGCCCAACAAAATCGAGGAGGTTGTGCATGGTAAATTCTACGAGGGCGATTGCTATATAGTCCTCAAGACCAAGTTCGATGACCTGGGCCTGCTGGACTGGGAGATATTCTTTTGGATAGGCAACGAGGCTACTCTGGACAAACGAGCTTGCGCTGCCATTCATGCAGTGAACCTGAGGAACTTTCTGGGCGCCCGGTGTCGCACGATTCGCGAGGAGCAGGGCGATGAATCCGAGGAGTTTTTGGCCCTATTCGAAACGGAAGTCATTTACATCGAGGGCGGACGCACGGCGACTGGTTTCTATACCATAGAGGAGATGATACATATCACCAGATTATATTTAGTGCATGCCTATGGTGCCACTATTCACCTGGAGCCTGTGGCTCCTGTCGTTGCCTCCCTAGATCCCCGCCACGCCTTTGTACTGGATTTGGGCACACACATTTACATTTGGCTGGGCGAGAGATCAAAGAACACGCTGAACTCCAAGGCCAGATTAATGGCGGAGAAGATAAGCAAAACGGAGCGGAAGAACAAGTGTGAAATCCAGTTGGAGCGGCAGGGCGAAGAGAGTCCGGAGTTCTGGCAGGGACTGGACATGACGCCGGAGGAGGGAGCCAGCGCAGAGCCACCGAAAGAGCACGTTCCGGAGGACTATCAGCCGGTGCAGCCTCGCCTCTACCAGGTGCAATTGGGCATGGGATATCTGGAGCTGCCACAAGTGGAGTTACCTGAACAGAAACTTTGCCACACCTTGCTGAACAGCAAGCACGTCTACATACTCGACTGCTATACGGATCTGTTCGTTTGGTTTGGCAAGAAGTCGACGAGATTGGTCCGAGCGGCTGCTGTCAAATTGAGCCGGGAGCTCTTCAACATGATGGATCGGCCCGAATATGCCCTGGTGATGCGTGTCCCCGAGGGCAATGAAATGCAGATCTTCCGCACCCAGTTCGCGGGCTGGGATGAGGTAATGGCCGTGGACTTTACAAGGACGGCCAAGTCGGTCGCCAAGACGGGGGCAAACCTCACACAATGGGCTAGGCAGCAGGAGACACGTACGGATCTTGCCGCGCTTTTCATGCCCCGTCAGTCGGCCATGCCCTTGGCCGAGGCGGAACAGCTGGAGGAGGAGTGGAACTACGATCTGGAGATGATGGAGGCCTTTGTGTTAGAGAACAAGAAGTTTGTCAGGCTGCCGGAGGAGGAATTGGGTCGCTTTTACACCGGCGAATGCTACGTCTTCCTCTGTCGCTATTGTATACCCATTGAGGAGCCTGAAAATGGCACCGAAGATGGTGCTAACCCAGCCGGAGACGACAGTAAATCCAGCGCAAACAATCAGCCAGAGGACGAGATTCAGTGCGTCGTTTACTTTTGGCAGGGACGCAATGCCGGCAATATGGGATGGCTCACGTTTACCTTTACGCTGCAGAAGAAATTCAAGGCGATGTTTGGAGAGGAACTGGAGGTGGTGCGGATCTTCCAGCAGCAGGAAAACCTCAAGTTTATGTCGCACTTTAAGCGGAAGTTCATTATTCACACTGGCAAGCGGAAGGACAAGGCGCTCATGGCAAAGGGAAAGGCGCCCGTGGAGTTCTTCCACCTGCGATCTAACGGCGGTGCGCTGACAACGCGCCTTATCCAAATCAATCCGGATGCAGTGCATCTCAACTCGGCCTTCTGGTGAGTACATCTTCACTGGCCTTCAATGCCACTTAATTGTTAAAGCGAGTTTTTTTGAATTTATGGAATATTGTGCAACTCATGGGAGCCACTTTCTTGTCTTATCATTATTTGGGACTGAAATTCCTAACAGCTTATAAGATATGTCCCAGTATTAATGTTAAAAGATAAAGCACATTAAATGCTGTATGTAAAAAACAGCCTTGGTCAGATACATTTATCACTCCCTTGCAGAGTGTATTACAATTTCCTAAGTTTCCGACATTTCAAACCCTATAAACTATATGTACGTCATTCTTAAGGAGAGTCAATCTAGCCATGCCCATCTGTCCGTCCGTCTCTTTTGACGCAAACTAGTCTCACTTTTAAGCTATCTTGATGAAGCATTCCTAAAAATCTTATTTATATTGCAGCTAGTATATAAGTTGGAATGGGCCGGATCAGACGACTATACCATAAGAACAAAGCCTCGTTTTATAGAATATTAAATTTTGTTTGCCGTATTTTGCTTGCTTTCCT